GAGTGAAGCTTCTCTGTGCTTTAGTGTTTGACCCTCTGTGGCAGCTTTCACCAGTCAGGCCTGTGAGATATCATTAATTACTGTTGAATGCAGAGGGAGGTGGAGTGCAGGCACATCAGCAGTTTCTTATATATTTAGCTGTGTTTGTGAAGTAAGTTACCTGTCGGTGAGGGCAGAGTAATGGACTGTCTGCCCAACAAGCCCCCAGGCTACAATTAGGGGAAGCCTCTCATTCCCCTCTTCTTAGATACTGTCTCTCCCTCCACTCTCTCTCTCTCTCTCTCTCTCTATTTCTTTCTCAGCCTCTGTCTTCATCTGTCTCTCTCTCTGTTATCTGTCTTCATCTGTCTCTCTCTTCCCTCCTTGTTTTTTGTTCCTCCCACTCTTTCTCTCTCATGTCAATCTCTTTTTTTGTCTTGTTTTCAGCCTTCAGTCAGTTAGTTTAAAGGCCACCAGGGGATAAATCTGCCGGGTTCACACAATACTGCAGAACGAACACGCCAAGAAATACACAAACAAACACACACACAGATGCTTGACAGAGTTGATGGAATCCCCCTGCCTGTGTTTATGCTGTTTTAATCCCTATATGTTTATTGGCATCAACAAAACCTGAGAGTTCGTACTGACGTGTAATATTGTGTATTTGTGCACAGATGAAAAGGGTGTATGTGGGTCAGTGAAAGTTGATTGCATGTGTGTTTGAATGCTTCCATGCATGTGTCAGTGCACATGACTAGTGCATACCCTCATAAATATGTGTATATAGTTCTGATTTACACAGGCTTTACGGTCTAACAGGCTCTATAGGATTTACTTCTCACTTCCGTGGAGCAGCTTACTGAAATTTGCATGTACTGGTTTTGCCAATCAGGAAGGATGCAACAATCCTTCCTGTGAGCGGCTGTATAAATCATCACACCCCAAACTGCCATCCACTTTTTTCAGCCCCTGAAAGAGCAACATGAAAGCTAAGAGGATTACCTGAAGTCAAGAATAGCCTTGTGTTCTCTTCAGATATGATGCTGCCTCTTTTACCATGGTCTTATCGCAGCCACAGATCCTCTGTCCTTTTCCTACTCCTGTCTGTTAAGGAAACAAATGCCCCGCTAAAGGCTTTCTAGATCTCACCGACTGCCTCTTGCCACTGATTTACCTGTGGTAGTGAGGGAATCCTTTGGATGAAGTTGACAGCCTAGTTGTATCATTTCAAACTCACTGCTTCTAGCTGTGCCACACTTAATAAAAGCATCTAGCTCTGTCTTTGCTTCAGAGAAATATGTTGGATACTCTATCCAAGCCATGGCATGTAGCAAAAAAGATCTAGATATGCCCCGTTAAGCCCAAAGAAACTGCCGGAACAACACTCAAAATATCCTTAGTTACAGTACACGGGTGCACACAGGGTCCCCTGACCTGGTTACTGTGTTGCTTGTTAAGTTCTTGGCTTTCTGTTGTAAGGTTAGGGTTTGACAGCTGAAACTGTGAGGAATCAGTGAGTCCTTATTAGCTGGTGTACAGCGTATAGCACGGATGCTGAACTGGGGCACTGTGGCAGAGAACTGGTGCTGCTGCTGATGAGGCTGCAGTTCCTCCTGAACACCTCAGCCCCCCTGCAGAGATCAAAGAGCCGTCAGCTTCAACACACACACACACATCCATAGAAAGCAGCATATAACTCTCACTGTCTGGATGAGAAGGTTGTGCACTAATCAGATTAGGTCTGCAGTAAATGTGAGGAACAGTCCACGATGGACTGAAATTAACTCTGTACAAAGTGAGAGAAGACCGCTGCGGCTTTGTGATTCACTGAACAAACACAATACAACCTTGAAGCAGTGGTGCCACAAAGCGATTTTGGAGAAGAATATGAAATAATGATATTCCATCCTTTTTCAAATAAATATTCTAACAACACTATTAAATTAACAACCTTAAAAAGACACATTTACTGTTTCATGAGGATATTGTTGATGTATTGTATATTATAATGTAGAATAAATGTATTGTACTATTTAAAAAATAATCATCATGATAATTGGTACGCTGAGTAAACACTACAAACAATAAACACATGTATCTCTGTGTACACATTACGCTTTATTTATTTTCTCACGACTAAACAGGACTCCTGCGTTCTTATAAATGAATAGCAGGATGAGAACATGATGCATGATATGTAAAGAATCAATGTTGGAAAAAAGGTTGGTCTTCTTGTAAGCCTTTCTATATTAATAGTTGTAGAAGAGGCAGATATTTAAGAGCACACATGGAGGTGTACGGAGAGGAAGAACGTAAATGAAGTAGAAAAGAGAATAGAAGATGAGAGAGATCAAAGAGGTATATTAACAGGGAAGAGAGGAAATATGGTACTGTAGGAGATGAAGCAAAAGGGAAGTAGAAATAGGGAGGAGATGAGGGTTAAGAATGTGAGGATGAAAGGAAATATGTAGGGAAAGTTAATGTGAAAGAGGAAGAAAGGATACAAGAAGACAAGGAAGCAAATTAAGCTGAGTAGAGGACGCCCCGCTCCTCTTTTTTTGGTGTTTTTTGAGAAATGAGGCTGTTAATTAGTAGAGACATGCATGGTTTATTAAATCAAAGTGTTTACAACTTTCACTGTCAACCAGATACTTGCTGGTCTTCGCTGATGTTGCCATGGTAATTACAGTATTATAATTGTGTTTGTAATTGATGGGCTAACTAATAAAAAGTAATATATTAATCATTAGGCATTAATTGTTTTTAAAGTAATTTTTTCACTAGCTGAGTAATTATAAACTGTTATTGGTGAGGTCGTTCGTTAGTGTAGTGTCTATATAAGATTGTTTTGTTCATTGTTTTTTTAACATACAATATCTAACATTTTGTATTATCGGTGTATCCTTTAGTCGCTTAAATGGGAGAAAAAAGTGAAAGACATTTAACATCATTTACAAAAATCCAGTGTGATGTCATCGGCTTGCTTTTTTCATCTCAAAACCCAAATATGTTAAGTTTACAACTGCATAGCAAAGTGCCAGAAATAAATAGGATTTTACAGTTAAAGACGTTATTCATCATCATCTTTTGTGCCTGATTTGGAATATTTATTTTGCTGTCAGGTTAAGACGCCCGTGAACGCATGAGAAAGACAAATCTCACACATAATGTAAAACCGTTTGTTCCATTTCCATCACATAATACACGAACGACACACCACCTCCACACTACAAATCACATTAAAGCATTACACACAGTTGCGCCAGCTGCTTCTCTTAACCCTTTTTGTGTGTGTATTTGCTCTCATATTAAGCATATTGTAGAATACATGTTGAACAAGGAATTATGTGAACGGTAGCTAATTGTTGCAATATAAAAGTACAGTAGTGGTAAATGAAATGTTTGCATAGCTGTGTTTGAAACACAGTATGAATGCAGCAAAGGCTGCAACCGCCAATGATATAGATTATCAATAAATCTGTAGTTCGCTGTTTTTATCAATTATTAAGTAGCTTGGTCAAAAAGAAATCTGACAATTATTAAAACAAATATATGACTCAGTTTCATCAAGCCCCTGTGATATCTTTACATTATTTTGTCTGAGGAACAGTCAAAAACCATTGGGTAATGTTTACAATAAAAGAACCAACAAATATTGACATCTAAGAAACCTGGAAGCACATTATTTGAAGTCAAAACATTGTTTTTTTCATGAAACAATTAATCAATTAACGAATTAGTCCAACTCTAGAAACAACACAAAATAAAAAGATATACAGAGGCAAATTAATAAACATACACAAATATAAAGTTAAAGGAGTTCCAGATTGAGCTGTAAGCTTTTCATGTCTGACCTTAGTGTTGGACAAGCAATCTCCTGTCTAGCCAGAACCATTGTTATCCATCTCGAGAATGTCCCTGCACTAATACATAGGGACAATAAGGCATCATCTGAACAAGACCTTTCACTATTCGAGAATTATATTCTGTATTTTTTCTACCAACATGTAGCAGAAAGTTTTCCTTCCTTCATTTCATTTTATTGCCAGGAAACAACAAGAAATGTCTCACTAACACACACTCTGATACACAAACACATCGGGGCCAGTCAGGCTCTGGGTTGGTTTATCTGCAGCTTACACTGAGTTGTGTGTGTGTGTGTGTGTGTGTGTGTGTGTGTGTGTGTGTGTGTGGTGTGTGTGTGTTGTGTGTGTGTGTGTGTGTGTGTGTGTGTGTGTGTGTGTGTGTGTGTGTGTGTGTGTGTGTGTGTGTGTGTGTGTGTGTGTGTGTGTGTGTGTGTGTGTGTGTGTGTGTGTGTGTGTGTGTGTGTGTGTGTGTGTGTGTGTGTTGTGTGTGTGTGTGTGTGTGTGTGTGTGTGTGTGTGTGGTGTGTGTGTGTGTGTGTGTGTGTGTGTGTGTGTGTGTGTGTGTGTGTGTGTGTGTGTGTGTGTGTGTGTGTGTGTGTGTGTGTGTGTGTGTGTGTGTGTGTGTGTGTGTGTGTGTGTGTGTGTGTGTGTGGTGAGGGGGTAAACAGCAGAGTGCGTACATTAAGTTTTTTTGTGAGTAAGGAAAACAAGCTAGGATGCGTGTGTGCTTGTAACCCTGCAGTGGCCGTGGATTAGACGGCAGTCTGACTTCTGGGGAGTGCTGTTGAAGGAGGAATGGGACAAACACTAATACACATAAACAAACACGGTGACATAGCTTTGTATCAGAGCTGTGAACTCATACAGCCGATGACATTTAACATTGCCTTGTTTTTCTATCGTATATAAACAGCTGCAGTACAAACCGAGAAAAATATATGTGAGAGCAAGATCAGTGTAAATGTCAAAACAGTTACGGCTGCCGAGTAGAACAATTATTTGCTGTACTTGTACATCTCATGAATCCATTTAAAAAGTGCATAAATCAGGATTAGCCGTGTCTAAACGTGCACAACCTTCACGCATGAACAGGATTGTGTATCTAAATGTGGTTTTCTCACATGTCTAAACCGTGTTTCCCTGTGTGTTGCAGGACTCTGCTCAGGAAGGTGTCATCACTCGGGACATCCACCGCACCTTCCCCGCACACGACTACTTTAAGGACTCTGACGGAGATGGACAGGATTCACTCTACAAGATCTGCAAGGTGAGATTTTACATTGAGGAATGGAGAGACTCATTGAGATTAAAATCTCTGAACAAGTCATCAGTTATAATTTGTAGGCTTTTTTAAAGCCCCAAGAGTTTTTTTTATCAGACCTGTGCATTTTCTTAATCTATTGTATATTTGTTCTCTTTTGTTTTATTTTATCATATGCACAACAAGTTATCTCTCAATAACAGTTAAAATAAGCATGAACACAATCAGATAGTAGTGGACAGATTTTAAATCTTACAGTGCAATGCAAAGCTATATTATTAGTTACCGGAATATATTTGAATGTGATATATCCTCATTGGATAACACAGAACTGTATATTTCACTTTCTTTTTGGCATCATGGAAAAGAAAGTCAAATCGCAATGCACAATCGTTCACGCTGTGTTCGAACATTTTTAAAATCGTTCCTGCTGAGAACCAAGTGCTGTGAGATGAGAAGCTAATTCTGAAATCTATGTTTGCATGTAAAATGTGTGCCTTTTCCTATGAAGCCAAGCCATTAGTATTTTAGTTGATTCGCTCTTTGGGGTCTGGCATGGCTCAGGAGGAGTTGGCTCTACAACATATAATTGACAGCGCCCGCTTTCACTGAGACATCAACATAAAACCTTCCTACACATTACCGGACATACACACCACTCAGTTGACAGTCGTTTCTTTTTTTTCGTCCAATCTTTAAAATGGTGGTTGTTATGTAGGTGGCAATTTCTCTCAAATGACCCATCGGAAAAGTTTTTGAATATCAAATGAGAGTCCAGAAATAAAGTTCTGATGCAGAATGTTTCTTGCTCTTATTGAAACTATCAAGCTTCTAGCTTAAATTATTTCTGTATGACAGAAGTGTTGAAGGAAGAGGCAAAGTTGATTTTTCTTAATGCAGTATTTTATGTTGTATTGCGTGTTATTATTCATGATAGCCCTGCATCACAAAATATAGACGTATTTGACATAACGTAAAAAACTGTTACTGCTGCATATCACTGAATGATAATAATGTTATTTTTTTCGATCTTTTAAACATTATTTCTGGCCCCATCTTACACATTGTACTTTCAAAGCCAGCCATACAAAATCATGCATACAATATATTTGATGCTGACCTTTTGTGGATAAAGCTTGGTACCATAAAAAGAAAAAGCCATTTAGCTTCCTTTTCATTACAATGAATGTGAGAAATACGTGCGTCAAGGAGAGGGTCCCAGTGGACTCGCATCCTGAGGTTATTATCTGTGCAGACACACGGTTAATTTTATTCAGACAAAGGCCAAGGTCAGCACTACTGTAATGTATTAAAGCCAATATTAATCTATGTCACTGTTCTCTTCTAAGGTTGTCTGAGGCTATGAACAAGAACAAGGCATCTTTCTATGCTTAGAAAACTAAATATCAAATCAGCGTGTTTGATTTAAAGGTCACCTATTATTCAAAATGCACTTTTTGATGTATTTTATACATAAATATGTGTGTAAGGAGACTCACAAAGTGTCAGAAAATACAACCCTCTCTCTTTTCCTCCTTACCCACATCTCTAAAAACGGAGCTGATCCAGATTTGCTGAGAACTCAACGTCATTACTGAAATGTGGGCTAGCTTTACATTGAACTCCTGGCAACGTTCCGCCCACGGCCCAACCTATCGTCTCCATATACAGTCGGCTAGCTGAATCCCCTCCCGCAGCTGTGTGTCTGTGTATTCAGCAGGATGTCTACGAGAGGGACTTGGAGTAAAGTTGTTAAATATATAATACATATAATGGCACTGTTCTAGTGGTAAACACTGAATAAAGAACATGTCAAGCTATGTGTTGTATCAGAAACAATGTGTGATGTGTTTTGGAAGTAATATGGTCTTTGTTTACATTAGCAAGCATCGCTAACACTCAGAGCTAACGCTGTACTGGAGAGAATATGTGTAAAGAAGCCGGATATAAAAGGTACTCTCCTTGTGTTAAACCCGCAAGAGAGAAAGCGTTTGAGCTCCATGCTGTTTCAGAAATAATGCTTGATGTGGTTTGGAACATAATATGGCGTTTAATCACAGCAGCGTTTAGCTGAGTTTCTGTCGGTAGAGTAGACAGCCTTCTCTTCACAGAGCTCACCACTTGCATGTGCTCCAAAGGGGCGTGGCCAGCAGCAGCTCGGGTAACATTTGAAGCTACAGACCCAGAATCAGCACTTTTGTAACAGGGCGGAAATAGAGGGGTATGAGGCATGGCTGAAATGGGTGATCTGTTTGGCATTTGGAGCAAAACACTTCAGAGACATGTTTTGTATAGATATGGCCCTATAATATATTGTTCAAATATAGCATAATAGGTGAGCTTTAAGCTTTAAGTTAAGCCCGGGGGCAGGGGCTAAAAACAACAATATTCACGAAACTGTGTCTCAGGGCTTCTTAACATTTAACAACCTATTAATGTGTCATACCCACTTAACGGGAAGAAACTCAGCTACCTGACGATATGAACCATTTTTACCTAAACAAAACACAACTCTAACACCGAGCGTCTGAATTAGCACTAAGCGAAAGGGTGCTAACGCACTTAGCACATACCTCACGGTAGCAATCTTTTATACTTCATCGGATCTGCACAAACTAGATATCATAAGAAAAGCTGAGATTCCACAGATTCCAATGGTATAAGTATCATCACTGTGCAACCAAAACTCGCGGCAGCGAAGGCAAGCAAAGACAACACACAACTTCACTTTACGGGACCAAAACGGCAAATACGTCTTACCTTTGCTGTTTTCTGATCAAAAGTTGTGTTCAAGGGCATTCAAATGCATAAAAACGCTGCTGAAGTTTAATCCAATGTCTCTGTGTCACTTTGAAATGATTACTGATAATCCATCATCATATTTATGGCAAAAAGCGTAGTTTTCATATAGTGTATGAGAGCTGTAACCCAGCTTCCGGTTTTGGGCGTGCTGGCTGCGCATCACTCTTATTCACCAATGGTAATGTTTAGATGGATTTAGCATTTAGATATGGCAAATACACCCAAATGACCCCTTGCTAAACCTCTCTAAAAAGGTCAAATGTCACTTGTTTTGCATCAATCTTGATACAGGGTACTTATTATATGTTATAGTTTGGATTCCTAAAGGTTTTTGTCTACTATCTCATCATTCAAGGGTGGTTTTCACTATAAGTAATGGTTTTTCTTTGGACGGAAACTATAATTTACATGTTTTTACTATGTTCAATATGAATTTACTTTAAAATAAAAACATCTATATTGATTCTGACTTCTCTACATCCAACTCAAAGGTTTATCATTGCTTTGAGAAAAAAGATTATTAATTTACCCCTTTTAGAAGTGAAGATATGGTCATTTGTTCTGGGCGTGTCATTTTCGAGCCTGAAACGTGAAAAACAGGCTCAGGGCTTAACAGGTTAAGAATACAGATGAATAGTTTACAAAGCTTGGGAGTGATCTAAATATAACTGCTATAGAGAAAAATTGGGTCTCTAGAATACATTTCTTGGATAATCTTCAAAAATGGCTCACTGATCGAGTATAGCCTATTAAGTAACGGCAGAGAAATCATTAAACAAAGTTAGTTTGAGATTGATGAAGAAAACTTTTGCTCCATTGTATTTCCTGCTGCTGCGGAGTTTGGCCGGTCAGCGCTCTGGGAGCACCTGTCAGGGAAGGTTAGCATCCAGTCTGGACCCAACTAGGTCAGTGGTGAGCCAGCCTTCATTTGTATGCAAATCCATGTAGATTTACTGCTGATAAGGTTGGTTGGATCTTGAGGCATGAGTGGGTTACAGGCACAGAGAATCCAGGACAAAGTTTATATTCATCTTCATACCCTACTCAGTAATAAGCCCCAAGGTTCCCAGAGCTCCGTGCACAATTTGTTTCATTCTCAAATGCTCCACTCAGTCACACTTCCTGGTAACCTGTATAACCTACGACATGGACTGGCTGTCACTCAGAAGGGTCTGCTGGAGCAGTCAGGTGTAAGCTGCCTCACCCAAGACTCTGAGAGTGGGTTTCAGGGGAGAGGGGAGCTTTATCCTTCCAGCTGGTGTGGGGATTCAAAACCTGTAACTCTCAGATAAATGGATTAGGAGAATATCTGCTGTATTTCCATGGAAACAAAACCTTAAACAAAGAGGGGGGAAAAAGCAAACATGAGAACGCCTCATCAACCTGGCTAATGTTGCATATCCCAGTAATCACCGAGTGTTTCCATGCACACATTATTCAGGATTCTAGCTCAAATCCTGGTGACCACCGTCCGGATCACATCTGTGTATACTTGTGAACACAATGCGAGCAGGCTTTCTTAGATTGAGATGTACCTCTCAGAAGCCCTTTTTATTCTGAAACTGACACTAACATTTGATTTACTAAAGTAAGAAAACGGTAATGTAGCACATACAATGTAATGGATACAAGACTTCAGGCTGCAAAGTCTTATCATTCAAAGCTTTAATGTTCTCACATGTCCATAATCTTATTCAGTAATTAATAAACAGCAAGTCTGTGAAGTACTTAATTCCCTGGGATTCCCTGGTGAGCCAAAGGTGAAAGCTTTAAGAATGAACCGTAACGTACCTGGTTCTCCTCCAGCTGGGGACCTGTCATAACAATCTTTCTGCCCTCATTTCCTGTTATCTCGTAACTATGTTTTGTCTAATAAAGGCATGCAGTGCCTAGAAATATACCTTAAAACACAGCACAGATAATAAATGCGTCGTTCCAATAGCTCCATGACCTACTGAATACATACAATGGAATAAAAACGTTTTAAATACTATCAGGTAATTTGTAAAAATGATACCTGACAAAAAAGTGCAGTGGTGTTCATGTGCCAGGCATGATGAACCCACACTTGTGTTTATTAAGACATTGTACTGTCTCCAAAGTGCTCTCCAAAGATATACACATATAAGAAAAACTATTAGCTGTGGGAAACCAGGAGTATAGATGGTAACAATCCACCCCTCTGAGCCTATTATCTGTTCAGGCTAACACATTTAGATTTCACCCACCAGGACCTCCCCCATCCATCTGTCAGCGTGCCTTTCTTCCAGCCGAGTTTGGGGACATTTGAATGCTCCACTCCATCAAGCATGTCAATTTGTAGATTACACCTCAGACAGCTCCACAAGAATTCTACATTACCTCCACATCAAACCCCAAATTAGCCGAACAGATCAGCAGTGGAGCTCTGAGTGTCCACACTCATTTATCAACCTTGTAAATGGGGAGATATTTTTTAACCCAATGTGCGGAGCTTTGCCTCTTGTTAAAATGAATGTCAATCAAAAATTGAGCATGCTGCCAAAATATCTGAGGAAGATATTGAACCCTTCCCAGCTGAATGTAAAGCATTAAAAAGCTTTTAAAGCAAAAGCATTTGAAGTGCACCACGTGTACAACTGCCACAATATTTCTATAGAAAATACATGTGCTACTTTCTCTGGATTTGAGCTCAGTGCTGTTCCAGAGCTGCAAAGCTGCTGGTTTTTCCCATCAGCTTACATGTAGAAGTCAGGTGAGGTGGTTTATGTTCCTTGTGTGTTGCCCCACTTACTGTACCTCTGATACTTACTGTATACAGTGGACAGGCATCGGACTTACAACAATTTAACGTTTAGAGTTCATATAAGATTCTTCCAACTCTTCTTCCGACTCATGTCTTGTAAGGATGTTTGCAGATAGTAAAAATGGTGTGATGTGTTCTTCATCACTTTTTGCCTCTCCTTGGATCCTCGTTTCACTGTGAAAGGGGAATGTCTGTTTGCTCATTAGCATGATTGGTGGATGTGTCAACTACCAGCCGTTTTGAGACGGCGCCTCTCCTGAACGGTCATATGAAGGTTACTCTTCTTGGTTGGTCTTGCATGCTTTAAAGATGGAAGCAGACAGGTTTCTTATATGGGACATTGTCTTGACTCGAGTTACCCTAACCCTAAACACAGCAAAATTATAATGTAAAAAAAAAAAAGTCTGTTTGTCTGTAAGATCATTGTTCTGCTCCTTTATTATTCTCCTGCTGTACTTGTCCTTTAAAACGTTTCTTTGAGTGGCCTTGTACTTTAGATGTTATGTTATCAGAAACAGAGACTTTTAGTGAATAGATACCTTATAAAGATCGAAAGAGGAGATAAGTCGACAATGACAAAGAGAAAAAAAACAAACGGAGAAAGACAGTCCCCAGGGAAATTCCTCTGAAAAATGAAAGTGCTTGGGAGATCTAGATTAAGGCTCTAAGCGTTTTGAATGAAATTGGGCAGAGATGACTTGTTCTTAACTCTGAAAAGGGAATCCAACATGCTAACAATATTATCAAACTGCGTAGTCATAGGAAACCCATTCTTCATGATGAGTAAACATAGTTAATCACTGTTCTTATCCAGACTCTTGCTTCTATAACCTTTACTAGACAACAAGTAACTTTAGCAGCATTACTCATGGTTTTATGTAGGAGGTTAAACTGACTCACTGTTAATTAAACCAAGTGCTGCTACTCACCCCTCACTCAACACTGAAGTGCAAGACACTGTATTCCCTAGCTGCTGCACTGGAGTTGTTCATTGACGGGTGTAACTGAATCACGTTGTGGGTGAACTTCGGGCCCCTTAGTGTGAAACTGTGAAAGACAAGGAGTGTCAGAAAACCATACAGGTTACCGGGTAAATAATGTGCAATCAAAAAAGATAATATGCACATGCCAATGATGGTGATAACATGTATATGCAAGCCTCTCAGAGTTTAAGGATGTATATAATTATGTCTCTGCATTGAAAAAAAATGTTTTAACAAGGCTGGGACACAATGGTGGTTTTGTTACATTTGGACAAAAAAACAAACCGTAATCACATCATTTCAAACCTGAAAAGCTGTGATCATATTTGTCTGATATACCTGCATTTTATTAACGAGGGAACCCTTGGTCTTGTGTCATCTAAAGGAAACATATCATATACTCTTCAAAACTGGCTCATTTAGATCACTTGAGTTTAAATTGGCTTTTAGAACTTTCTGAATTGATGTGCCCTTGCTTTATCATTAAAACCTTTTGTAAATAAAGATTGTGTATGATTCATCACTAGTCGCATTTGATCCTGAAATGTACCCAAGTTTTAACAAATATAACGGATGTTTCTACACATTACCAACCTTGGCTTTAAGAGTCCAAGTATTTTCTATAAGGTTAGAGGTTTTTAAATCACAGCTTTATGAATGCATTGTAAACAACCTTGACTTATCTAGGTGACCTCTGATGCCTTGCTGATACAGTAGACTCACCAAATACATTTCCCTCCTCTCTCCTTTTGTTTCTCTCTCGCAGGCCTACTCCGTCTATGATGAGGAAATTGGTTATTGCCAGGGTCAGTCGTTCCTCGCTGCTGTTCTCCTGCTGCATGTGAGTAAACTCATCAACAATCTGTCCACTGAGCCTGCTGTCTCATGGTCAAATGATGCATCAGATTGATGACAATGTATACACACATGCACACCAACCTGTGATGAACAAAAACAACATAGCTGTTGCCATATCATGTGATTATGTTATTTAGTCTACTTTGTAAGAATAACTTTGCACCATGACTTCAAAAGTGAAACTCTTTGGAGCTGCTGGAATGTAACCTTGATGCTACAGAGGTCTTGAGTAGCAGTTATACAAACTTGTACATGATACACTTTTTATCAAATAAAATAGCTTAGCATTGTGCAGCTGCACCTACACATCTCTGCATCTATAGAAACCAAGTCTAGCTTGTGCTGGGTGTAATAAAGCAGAGGCGAGACAATATAAGAGAATACATTACAGCTGAGAGGGAGACAGAAAGAGCGTCTCGGGCTGACCACTGTAATGAAAACACTTCATAAAAGAATGATGTTGATGAATAGAGGTGGGTTAGAGAGTGTGAAGAAGGTAACGCTGAAAGCATAAGAGATTCATAGCAGAAAATCTGAAGTTGGAAAGGGCTGGACAAGATAATCATTCATTTCACATATTTTTCAAGGTCATTGACACATTTCTTAAAGTAACTCCTGCCCTCTAGTCCAATCCCAATGCACATGTAACTGTTGTACAGTGTTTCTTGTCTGTTCAAAAGGGGCTGCAACTTGTAAAAGGCATCCAAAATCTTTATTTCGGGAAAGTGTATAAAGACAGATGGAGGAGAGACAGAGGTGTAGACACATGGAGGCGGGAGTCCCAAATGGAAATGGGAAGTTTGGTTCAAATCCTAATCACAAGGGCAGCAGAAGTTAAAGAGGGGGAAGATGGAGGGAGAGCGAAAGATAGGTCAAAAGAGGTGGGGTTATTAGAATAAATGGTAGGATAACTATGGATGAGTTTAGTGAAGACGCATCACGATGTACAGAGGAGAGGAGACAGGAGTGGAGGAGGAAATAAGGATGAAGTTACAGAGAAGGAGGGGGAGAGATAAATGGGACAGCAGCAGTAAAAGAACGAGAGGTTATACAGGAGGAGGAGGAGGAAGACAGGTTATAGAGGAAGAAGGGAGAGGTTATAGAGGGGATGTCAGGAATATTAATAAGGGTTCAGGTGTACCTGCAGGAGCCCATTCAGTCCCAAACACATACTGTCTGTGTGTGTGTGTGTGTGTGTGTGTGTGTGTGTTGTGTGTGTGTGTGTGTGTGTGTGTGTGTGTGTGTGTGTGTGTGTGTGTGTGTGTGTGTGTGTGTGTGTGTGTGTGTGTGTGTGTGTGTGTGTGTGTGTGTGTGTGTGTGTGTGTGTGGTGTGTGTGTGTGTGTGTGTGTGTGTGTGTGTGTGTGTGTGTGTGTGTGTGTGTGTGTGTGTGTGTGTGTGTGTGTGTGTGTGTGTGTGTGTGTGTGTGTGTGTGTGTGTGTGTGTGTGTGTGTGTGTGTGTGTGTGTGTGTGTGTGTGTGTGTGTGTGTGTGTGTGTGTGTGTGTGTGTGTGTGTGTGCCCGTGTCCGAGCGAGCGAGCCCATATACCCAAACAGACACACACAGTTTTAAGATACTCTCATGCCTCTTAGCTTCAAGACAATAAAGCATCACATGAAATCAAAATTCTGCCGGCACCAACTGGATGTCATTCACACCTTTTCATTCATCTTGTCATTCTGGCTTCATTTGGAGCCAGTCAAATAACGCAGGATAATTAAATGTGTCTGTATCTTGTTTTGAAGACTGTGTGAACATCCACTGTCATGTGGAAATCTGCACATGTTCCTGGTGGAAGTTAATACCTAATATATATATATCATTCCAATAACTTGTATATAGACTCATACTGCACTATTCCACATCATAACTTTATTTCATTTTTATAACTATTATTATTTTTGTATTGCTCTTGCTCTTATTGTTATTATGTTATGTTATTATGTTGCATTGTTGGAGAAGCCTGTGACATAAGATTTTCAACTGCATAATTACTCTGTAGCTATGTCAGATTGACAATAAAGAACCTTGAACCTTGAACCTTGAACCTTGAATTGTTATTCACATGGTTTCAGATGCCAGAGGAACAGGCCTTCTGTGTGTTGGTGAAGATCATGTTTGAGTATGGCCTCAGAGCTCTCTACAAAAACAACTTTGAGGATCTTCACTGTAAGTTTTACCAGCTGGAGAGGCTGATGCAGGTTAGTGATGCAATGCTTTATAATGAATAACTTAATATGTAATGATACTGTACTACAATGCAATGGAAAGTAACATAATGCTCTGAAGATAAGCCTGAGTGGAAGAACAGACAGTAGGAGGACTCGGTCTCTTCACTGTATTCTTGTTATTTTATCTTTGATTTATGTAATAACCATATACGGTACATTTATGTTATGGCCACCAGTTTTGAGTATTGTGCTCGTCATTTTGACTTGGCCGTTGCTTTATACTACAATATTTGGCAATTCTACTAGACTGGTCTCAACAATGTCCACAACATTTCCACTTTCTTGAGAATCCCTTTGGCTGTATTATTTAATTAATGAATGATTGAATGGATGGTTTGTGGGATTCCACATACTGGCTGCCACTAAGAAGAAAAGACTAGCAGATGGGACAAATAGCTTTACAAAATGTATTTGCATTTTCCGTAAAAGCAAGGGAAATATTCAAAAATGTTGCACATGTTTCCAGGGATTGCATCATCTGAGGGGGACAACATGTTTGTTGTTGCCTCGTTGACTCGTCATGGTCACATATAATAATTATAATAGAGGACACATAGGTCTTTGTGTTTGAGACACCATTCTTTCTGTCTGTTGAGGCTGATAATCCTGCCGCTGGTTAACTTTCCTCGCACTCAGGTATTACAGTCTAAATCCACTCACTGAGCAAAGTTTAATTGGGTCCTGATATCCATCCTGGCCCTGATAGCAGGGTGTCTTGCAGAATCAAGATGAACTTGGTTAGCATCGACCAAATGTGATCAATGTAAGGATGTTAGCATTGACTGCTAATTATTAGTGCACACCATCTGCTCGTGTCAGGTGTGATATAGCACGGTAAATGTTGGTCAAAGTGGATCGCTATCTGGCTTATTTAATCGTTCAATCACTGTACATGTATGGATGCTAAGACTTTTAACTTCAAAGTTGCAGCTGCCTTATTCTCCTCTTGTTATCAATCTTATAAAAAATCAAAAGAGACAAATAAGAAGGAACATTGTGAGCGACTATTTAGTTGAACTGAAATAGAACAAATGTAGAAACCCTAATCGAATAGACTGAACAGAATAATAAAATAATAAAACAGCAGCAAATTGTGTGAATATAATTGTTTTTGTATAATAAAGTACATATCCCTTTTTATGTATTTACTGGAAGTTTTAACAATGTGTGCTACTATTTATATAAAATGTATTTGTTAGGCAGCTGGGACTGAATGGCTTTTTTACAACTTTGTTCTTGGGGCGCTTAAAAGAGTGTTCAGGAAGACACCATGATTTAATAAAGAATGAGGAAAAATGAGATGATGTCAAATTGAAATAAAAAAGCCATATTCTCTAGTCTTGTAACTGCTCTTTTATCTCAAATGTACCCTTGTTCTCTTTATTGTTTCTCCCACAGGAGCAGCTTCCAGACTTGTGGTCCCACTTCCAGGAGCTGAACCTGGAGGCACACATGTACGCCTCCCAGTGGTTCCTCACACTCTTCACTGCCAAGTTCCCCCTGTGCATGGTTTTCCACATCACTGACCTGCTGCTCTGTGAGGTATAATGTAGCTCACTGCACTTCTTTTTTCCTTGAGTATATGGAGAGTGATCTAGTAGACATTGTCCAATGTGGGGAGGGTCCACCTTCTAGAAAGATGAGAGGGGGAGTAAGGATGTAAAACTGAACAGCTAAGAGTCGGCAAGTAGGGGGGGGGCACTTACTGCAAAGCTATACCAGCACTTATGCATCACTTTGTCTAATATCTTACCAATGTAATCAATAGAGGTGTGGTAATCAGGCTTTTAAAGGCTGATAATATCATGGATTTAATGTCATTAGGACCATTTGACCCGATACCAATCAACAGCCCTTTTCTGTCACTCCATGACTCAATATTTAAGAATGAATATAAGGATAAAGATGATTAAAAAAAGTATTCTGTGATACTCTGCAAAAGCTTTTTTAACTTTAAAATTCTAGAGAACTGTATCCCCCATATTATCACTGAGGAGCTTGTATGATCAAAAGGTAAAAAAACACATTGAACTCTGTTAAACAGTTGTTTACTACATGATCTGTCATAAGTAGCCGTGTGTCTTGAAGTGACTACTTGAAATCACTTTGACTATGTGACATACATGGTATAGATACAAAACTCTTAAAACTATAAAACAAACAAATCCGTCAATGCTCAATAGTTGAACCGTTATCATCATCATCATATTTTTTGCAGTTCTTTAGAGTCCTTCTTCATTGTTAAAGAATAGGGGGAAACAAATAATGTTTAGTTATTTATCCTCTAAATGTTATGTGTCATAATGTAAGAAAAAATTATGTTTTTGAAGCGTAGAACGCAAAGTAACAAGGGACCATGAACAGAGCCTTGAGTTACACCATGCCAAGTGACACAGCAAAATAGTGTGATCCACTGAATCAGACTGTCCTTACATCTCACCATGACTAAGAATTCACCACCCTTCAATTTGATATGTTTGTGTTCAAATTAAAGAGACACATGGGTGGAATTATTAGTGATTTTCAAATATATTTCTTTATTGGTTTGATATTTTTCATTACATAAACATTAAAAGCCAAAATGCCATATTTGTTTCCTCTTCCCCCCATCATTCTCTCTGTCCTTCCCCCCCCTCTCTGTGTCCTCCTATTGGCCCCAGGCAGGACAATTAAAAGTTTCCCAGGTCTTTCTCACCCAATGAGCCGCATGATGAGAATCTGCTCGTTAAACCAGTTCTCATCTCCTGCATCCTTCTCTGTCTGCCCCCCTCTCCATCATCGTTTCCGACTTTTTATTGCTTCTTCCTTCTATCATGTTTCTCTCTCATAGTTTTTTGTTATTGTCTTTCAACTTTTTTACTGCAGGTCTTTTTTCTTTCTCTGCTACCTCTCATTCCATGACCCAATCTTATAATAATTTAACCGGTGTGTCAGTATTTTGCGAGCTAAGTTTTACCATTTTCAAAACAGTTGCAGAGTCATAACCTACATATCTGAACACAGTACCAGGTATTGTTTGTTTTGCAACCACTAACGCTGTGTCAGCCATTTCTCTAACGGGGGAACAGATGCCAAAGTGATAACACTGAGGCTAGATCCAGAATTTCTCAATGAGGAGGAAAGAGGAGATGTTTTTTCTGTCCCTTATCAGATTTTTTTTAATGTGGGAATACATGGGTTTAAAAATCATAATTTCCACTGATTTGTAGTCCCAAGCTCACAGCTTGATGTCGCATGATATTTTTGAGGTCATAAACTGAGGTTACCAGTAACTATTTTAGTGCTGCGTATAAATATCACTTATGATATGCACGTTATTTCAACACCTACCTGGTCCATCGCCCTGTCACATTCCCAGTCCAAGTCATGATGTTTTCGTTGTCTGCATGTTTATCCCAGTTTCTCCCCTTAAATCTGTCTTGCTCAGATACACAAACACATACACATACACACACTAAGAGATTATCTTCCTATCTCTCCTACACACCTTTGATCCTGCTTCAGCACTGTAGCACCATCTTGAGGCCTACAAACAAAGGTGTGTGAAGGCAGAGCTCCCCCTCTCTTTTCTCTGTCTCCGGTTATTTTTAGAGCCGTCCAGATATTTTTAGCTCTGTGTTGCCATGTGAACTGGTTGTCATGGAGACCAAGGAGACGGGTGTTCCCATGCAGAGCTGACATCAGCTTCACATTTTCTTTCTCTCTGTGTCAAAATCAGAAGCATTGTGTCAACAAAAGAGGGAGGGTAGAACACATAGTCGCAGCAATTCATGTGCATGCTGTAAATCAGTGAATAGAAACACAGTGTATGTATGTGATTCATATATGATCAAAACATGTACATTTAGGACTTTATCTGTTTATTTTCAAGTTTTAGTATCTTGTCATTTGCACTAATCAACTCAGTTTTTTAGACATGTTTTGTTAGTTATCTCAATAGAGATTCATTTAAAAAGTGGGTACATTTATATTTCCTTTCAATTATGCTGCTGATTTACAAAAATGATGTATGCTCGATTTACAGTGCAAATGCAGTTCATATACAAATACATGCACTGTTAAAGGGTAATTATGAACAAATTAATGATGTGTCAACTTTAGTACTGTATATACTGTGTATCTTTTTATTAAATTGTTGTGTATCAGAAACATATACACTGATGCTCTGAAACATTCAAACATCCTGATAAACATGAATTGCATAAACCTTTTCTGTATTCATATCTAATTGTCCTCTCTCTTCCAGGGATTGAACATCATTTTCAACGTAGCCCTGGCCCTGCTCAAGGTTAGTACTATTTGTTATATGATGATGACGCATTATTCATATAACATGGATTTAAGAAAAAGCCAATCCGGACTCTTTTCTTAACTTCAATTATTGCATGTAAAAATAAAATGGTAGTTATGCACAGATGTTTTGAGCAGTTTATAAGAGTGTTATTTATGAAAATGTGTGTACATCAAGTGCGTACATCAAAGCACTGAGGAAAACTGCAAAGCTTTTGGAAAGCATGACTGTGCAAAAGAGGCATTGTGTGAGGAGCTGCATTAGTACCTACATCTAACACATTAGGAAGAGGCCAGAGAGTTGGCAGTTATTGCCCTCTAGTGCTCAAATCAGATATTGCATCATGAAGTGATGAGGCAGATTGTATTTAAGACAAATTAGATGGCAGGTTGAATGTGATGCAGGGTGCAACAACAGCAAATAATACATTTCAATATATCGTTTTACTATTATGGTGTAGCATGTGTTTTGAGCAGTGTATGTATTGATTAATAGTAACAAAAAAAGGTTTGTATATAGCACCCACACTGCCCTCAGCTGAAGTTACTAGCTTATTAATAAATGCAATTACATTTTAAACATTAATATGCAGGTAAGGGTGCATACATAGTTTTTATAGAGTTCCTTCCGATGTTGAAAAATGTAAGAATGATTGCTCATAATTCATAAATGTACATTTTCAAAAGTAAACCATTTGGGATGTGGTTTCATGAAAATATAAAACATAGGCACATACAACAAAATAGACATACATAAAATAAACATGCAAGATAAAAAGAGCAAACAAAACAATATGATTTAACAGTTGTCTCGAGCTAGAAAAAACAAGTTACAAGTTTTGAAGTGTAAGGTAGTTAAAGAAATGTACAACAATGTACTGAGTTCTAAATAAATATTTCCAAACATAATAATAATAATAATAATAAATTGTATTTGTAAAGCACCTTTCATTGCTAAAAGCAATCCCAAAGTGCTACAGTAGGCGTAAGAAACAAATAAAAGAAACAAAAGTTGAATCAAAGGCTTTTTTTTAAAGAAAGGTTTTTAGGCCTTTCTTGAAGGCGTCAGTGGTCTGTGGAGTCCTCAGGTGGTCTGTGGAGGCCTCAGGTGGTCTGTGGAGGCCTCAGGTGGTCTGGGAGGGAATTCCACAGGTGAGGAGCAGCTGCACAGAAAGCCCGATCCCCCATTGTGTGGAGTTTGGTCCTGGGGGGGCGAAGCAGATGGTTTGTTGTGGAACGGAGGTTGTGTGTGGAGGTTTGTGATGCGAGTAGTTCTTTTAAGTATGAAGGAGCGTTCCAGTGGATGCACTGATGGGCGAGCAGTGACATCTTGTATTCGATCCTGAATGAGACAGGAAGCCAGTGGAGGGAATGAAGGACAGGTGTGATGTGGTTGTACTTTCTCACCCTCATCAGGATCCTAGCGGCACTGTTCTGTACGTGTTGGAGCTTCTGAAGGCTCCCGCTAGGAGTCCCGATGAGGAGAGCGTTGCAATAGTCAAGCCTTGACTTTCCATGTCTGGAAATGATGTTTCCTTCAGAGCTGAACGGTTTAGAACCAGTTGTTGTGTTATCAGATCTGTTTGTGGTGGGATGGATCGATGACTGCGTCATATTGCATGTCGGTGTCACGTTGGTCAATGTGGACGTTCATTTGATGGTGCAGCACTTGTTGAAGTCGTGCTGAAACTTCTAGAGATCCAGATAATGATAATGTGATCTTTATATATACAGTCTATGGTTGTGATGCAGTCTTAGTATTTTTTTAAAGAACTAAATAGAGAATCATTTAGCATCATGTCTATTTTTCATTTATTTTATTTTTTAAAGATCAAGTTTAACATACAAAAATAACTTTATTTTATGTTGAATCTGGAAATCATGTAACACATGGGTCATTTTAGTTGATAACTCTTGCTTGTTCCGTTTCCCTTTATTTTTGCCACCCCCTGAAAACATCATGACTATTCATAAAATCATAGGGAAATCAAAAAAGGTTCATGGAGGCTGTATACATGATCATCCAGTGAGAGCCAATATGGATATGAAAATAGTTTTTTATCATAGTTGCTAATAGAAAAATATGGGTTAGAAAATCAGAGAATATAAATTATCCCCAATCAAGTTTAATTTGCCATGAAAACCAGTACTTTAAATTCTATTGTCTGCCAATATTGAATTCTGATCCAGTATTTAATAAAATGTTCCAACACAAACTTTGAACTATAGCCCTGATAATGATACAAAAAAAGACAATACATGTTTCAGTTCCTTCCATGATATAAATACTCACTATAATAAATAAACTAAGCGATGTTTCTTTACCTAGTGCGGTTCAATCAGGCTTTGCTCTCTAAACATATCATACAGAGTTAATAAAAAAAAAGCCCTCCTGCTCTATATCTGAGCAAGAATGCATTCTGTGTGTCAGACAGAGAAAGATTTGGTGCATGCGATGGTCGGGAATGGAGAACAAATGAGGATGTGAGGAGGGTGGAAGGGGCTTCCACTGCCTGCCTCTCATTGGCCAGGCATGACGGCATTCTCCCCTGAGGTTCCCTCCTCCCCCCTCCACCCATCCTGCTCTCCTCTCCGCTCCCATCACCCCTCCCTCTATCTGTGTCCACCTCCCTCCCTCTTCTGCTTAGCCCTCGCCGTGCACAACAGGAGCATAAGCTAAAGCGTTAGCAATCTGGACCTGGAGGAGAGAAGCTCTGTTTATGTTTTTCAAAATTGTTCTTCCTCCTCATCTTTACCTCCCATTGACGCTTCTTGTCTGCCACAGCTCTTTGAGCTCTGTCTTCTTTTCCTGCCACCCATCTACCTCCACCTTTTCTTCTTCTGTGTTGGCTGGCGATGCATTTTGTCATGATGCTACCTCTGTTCATCACCCAGAACTCTGCCAAGGAGCCGCCCTTGCTTACTGCTAGCTATTAGCTGTTAGCATAACAAAGAGGAAGCGAGGAAGGCTGAGTGAGTGAAAAGGGAAAGCTGGTGGACAGGAAACGCTGTGTGGTTTCTTTGCCTCACCCCAGCTGCTGGTTACGACCATCACTCCTGATAACTCAAACTCTAATGCTTACACTCATCTATTTAGCCTTTGTCGTAGAGAGTTCGAAGTGAGTTTCCATCTGAAGGAGCTGGCTTTCCATATAAATAATCTACTGACTAATTAAAGACCGGATGCCTGGATGCTGCTCCTGATGGATATCTGCCGGAGTGAAAAACACTGGAGTCCATACTGGAGCTGCTGACTGGACTGTGCTGTTACTGCTCTAGTGGTTTGGATCTACTGAGACTTCAGATCAGAGGGTCATATCGGTGAAGAGGAAGAGCAAAGATACAGAGAATCTATTGTTATACGCTCTGTTTTTATACCTCTTTCCAAGCTCATCTTGGTTTTCTTGCATCATTGGCTTAAATCTGACTCAACGAGTTCAGCATCCACTCAGCCATAAGCAAACACGAATGCATCATCATCTCCGGAAGGCAGAAAAGTGGCACACTCCCATGAGAACAGACCACATTTCGACAGCTTCTGCCCGCTCCTCAGGACCGCCTGCTCAGGCTTAAATTGGGTTTATTCAGATGAAAGGATTCATGCTGTTAATTCAGGCCATTCTACATCAAAAAAAGCTTTAAGTCCTGTCTGCTTCACACCTGGTGTGGCTTCCTGTTTGAAAACAGGGTACAAAACCTCTCTAGTGCTTTGATGTGTTGTCACGCCCGCACGAAGCCTTGAGCATTAAGGAGTCTCAGTTGCGTAGACTGAGGGAGGTTTTCTCTCTGGCTTTGAAGTCTTACAACTAAGGACAATTAAAAAAAAGGTGGCATACTTATCCATCACTGCTGTTTGCCGGAGCATCAGCCCACGTGTTGAGAAGCTTTGTTGCTAGGCAACGGCGTACTGTATTGGAATTGGTTTTGGGAGTTTGGCACGGGGAGACTAGATTTGAAAGTGAGTCTGGCAGGTAACTGGAAGACTCAGCATTATGCCAAATGCAGCGTCCATGCATCTTTTTCTGACTGTTGTTTTGTTTCATCTTGTGGTCGTTACCGGGCTCTGACAGTGGTACAAGCCGAGTGGCATCCACCGACGTCCACTTCTCCATATTCTGTGGGGAGTAGATTCACTTTATTAAAAGGAACTTTGCTCTTGTTGGATGCCCGGTCTGCTGTGTGTTCCTGGGACACTGCTTCATGTGGTGTTATCAGCTCCTTCACCCAGATGGTCTGTCACCTCGTACCCCGGGACTCTTTTTGACTAGGGGGTGACCTCACGACAAACCTCAGCTGAGGGTGAATAAACTCTGCTCCCAGTCCACCTGTCCTACAACTCCAAGAAATCCACTGGGACGTTCGGACTACACGCTGGAGTCATCTGCCACCCTGGCCCCTGAGCGGGACCGCCCCTCTCCCTCACCATGCCCCACCCCACCACCATCTACTCCACTCTCCCCTCTGCCATCTCCTACCTCTATACCTTCCTTGACCCCGCACCGGCCCCTTCCAGCAGTGCACATGGCGTTGGAGGACGGAGAGGGAAATGCGGAGGAGAGGGCAAACGGCAGTGAGGCCTCAGCAGACTCTTTCTGCAAGGCGATGGGTCTCCTTGGGATGGGACACCGGCTCTTTGTCCCTAAACTGCTGGCGGTGAGAGAGAACTAAACTGCACATGCAGGGTTGCTTTGGTTAAGAGTTACAAAGTCACCTTTTGAGTTTGACTTGTGTTAAACATTAAAAGTGCTACTGTTAAGGACGGATGGAAAAACAGGCAAACATGTCTCAGAATAGAAACTTCTGTCTCTTCTCTTCTTGCATTGGTCAAATAAATATTTATTGCATCTGTTTTTGATGGAGGTTTGAACTTTAACCCTTTTACATATTTTGAAATTGAAGGTTGCACATTCTTCTCTGGACCATTCTGTATGTCACACTAGACAGAGGTGCCAGCCGATTGCCTGAACTTTATTTGCAGGAGAAGGCTAGCATGTTAGCTTTGTGCTATAAAACCTGATTCTGTACAACTATATCAAGCTGCCTAAAAGTTAAATTTCATTATAACCAATACTATATTCAATTTGAAATGCAACAGACAAAACTCTTAATCATTTTTTATAGCTTGACTTGGCCTTCGAGTAACAGTTGAACAGCCATGTACTGTACATACAATATTTTTCTCTGGATACATTCTTGTGACTATGCATCCTTACACCACCAGAGGGTGATATTTATTAACTTTAGCTCAGTTACCCAGTACAAATTCAGTGACAAAACAGCTCCACTGTTTGAGTTTTTGTGTACAGCATCTTCACAGAGTGCTTGTAAATGACCTCCACTGTAATATGTGTGCTTGCTGTGAAACACTTTCAGGGCCACACCACCCTAAAGGATCATTTAAGCAAGAGACCTAAAAACGTTAGATGAAGGCAATCGCTCCTAAAATGAGAGCCTTGCAACCGGGGTCAACACGCTGCTGGAGGTTATTCTGTGCTCAGTATGTCTGACTCTTAATGACCATCATATGTCTATCTGTCTCCCATCTCATCATGTCTCGCTCCAGACGTCTAAAGAGGACCTCTTGCAGGCAGACTTTGAAGGGGCTCTTAAGTTCTTCAGAGTCCAGCTCCCCAAACGCTACCGAGCTGCGGAGAACGCCCGCAGGCTTATGGAGCAGGCCTGCAACATCAAGGTAAGGAGCTCTAAGACCAACACAGGACATTTCTATTCCTAAGCCCTTTATTCCTTACTTTCCCTGTGTCTTAATTTTAAAGTTTGACAAAACCTTTTGCACCGTAGAAAACACTAAAACTGCTGTTTAAGTGTGTACTTAGGCACACTTACACCTCATTCCTGGATTCTGGTAGGATTATTGTAGGAATCCAAGCAACACAAAAAGGATTTATAATTATGATAAGTCTTAGCATCTCACTCTGAGACACAAAACACTTTCCCAGAGGGGTCAAAGGTCATTGGGCAAGTCAAGAACAGATTTGGCTTTCGTGGTGATTAAATGCAGTGCGGGGTACTGCAGTGACATCCCTGATTTGTCCACACAGCACTATAGCTGAGCTGTTTGTCGGTGTCCCTCATGACTTTTAAAAACTCTTTCTGTCTTTGCATTGGGTTCTTGAGTTTTATTTGCACTGCACTACACGGAGATGTCAGTCTAAAAGAGCCGGTCATACTGTGACATTTTGGGTTTTTACTTTATCTTAATATGACTTCAGGATTGTATGTTGTCAATGCTCTCGTATTCCATTCATCAAAACATGACTAACACGTTAAAAACAAATCAACAAAAGCACTACCACACAAATGATGCTAAGAACAGGAATAGCTTTTATAAAGTGGATAAACGGCGGGTGGGATCTCTGTTGTGTCAGGGGGACGGCCGACATAGAGGGGAGAAACATGTCTCAGATAATTACTACATTCTTTAAATTGGCTGTAAACTAGATTGTATTACAACATTGTGTCAAGTGACAATGTGAAAACATTGTCACAATGTCAAGGGGGTTGAACCTACAGAGAATTAAGATTACAGTTTCTCTTGTTTTTACAGAGCTCTACACTGTACCGAGTTGCATAAATCAACTGTTTTGGTTCAGGCAGTTGTTTTTAGCTAACATGCTCTTAACAACCCACTGAACACTAACTGCCAAGTCGTTTTGACAGTTTAATGAATAGTTGAGTTGTGTTTTCTTGGGTTAGGGTTAACCCTTTGCAATATGCCATGGTATTCACTCTAGTTGTTTTTTGTTGTTTTTTGAACCAGTCTTTATGTATGTTGCAGTTTATTGGTCTTTACTCCAATTTGTCTTTAGCAGATAAAAGGATGGCAGTAATAGTTTTCCTCAGAGCATACAAGGTTGAGTGGTCACAAAAATTCCTGCACATACACAGAAACACGCGTGTTATCATTCTCCCAATAACCTTAATGAGACTGCTGACATTTGGGGAATGTGCTAAGGTCACCGGAGACCTGTGCAGTACATGGTGTATTTGATTGAAGGAGAGTGTGTGTGTGTGTGTGTTGTGTGTGTGTGTGTGTGTGGTGTGTGTGTGGTGTGTGTGGTGTGTGTGTGTGTGTGTGTGGTGTGTGTGTGTTGTGTTGTGTGTGTGTGTGTGTTTGTGTGTGTGTGTGTGTGTGTGTGTGTGTGTGTGTGTGTGTGTGTGTGTGTGTGTGTGTGTGTGTGTGTGTGTGTGTGGTGTGTGTGTGTGTGTGTGTGTGTGTTGTGTGTGTGTGTGTGTGTGTGTGTGTGTGTGTGTGGTGTGTGTGTGTGTGTGTGTGTGTGTGTGTGTGTGTGTGTGTGTGTGTGTGTGTGTGTGTGTGTGTGTGTGTGTGTGTGTGTGTGTGTGTGTGTGTGTGTGTGTGTGTGTGTGTGTGTGGGTGTGTAGTGTGTGTGTTTGTGATAGAGGAAGGAAAGGGTTGACTGTGATAGATGGAAGAGATAATCATCCTCCCTCTGCCCTTCTCTTTTTTCCTCTCCTGCTCGCTTGTTGTTTCTACATACAGTTCATATTTTACATTTCAGGCATTTTCCGACTAACTTATCTTACAAAAAACGTTCAGTGAGTAAGCAGGTTGAAATGTATTGTTGTGTTGAAGGGCATTTTGGCAGTACGGGCAGGACGCATGTCTCTAAATGAGGACGATGCTTACGATCGCCCCATGTTTGCTGAATTTCAGTGTTTTTTTACATACAGGATATCCTGCACTGTGACTCACTGCTTATCTCTAGTGGTTTAGTTACATTTTGGCCCTATTGCACAATCCAATGCAACCTGTCATACCAGGCTTTATGTTGAACAAGAGCATACACACACAGGTTTTGTGTGATTAAGCACAAAGTACTGATTTTGATGCAGGTATGTTGAAAAGTCACTGGATATTGTCAGACTCTTGGGAGGGAGAAGTGATTAATTTAAACACTACCTTAACCATTATACTTGAGAAGAGAGTGAGGAATCTACTGAACACTTCCTAATAGCCAAGGTTTACACATTGGATCAGTGTCAATGCTTCTGTCTGAGGGCTTTAATTGTTCTGCTCTTTCTACTGTCACAGTCTTTAAACCAGTCCCTCTTTTAGCTTTTAAAATAGAACATTCCCTGTGGATAAAAGTATATGGAGCAAGTCATTGAGAGGGAGAGAGATGAAACATAAGGACTGTAGAGTGATGAGAAGGACTTGCAGAAGAATTCCTTTCTTCCTTGTCTTACACTTTTTCACGTTTTTCCCTGTCTTGACATTGAGCATCAGCTTGTGACACGTCACAGCCGATAGAGTGCTGTCTTAGAAAGTATGTTAGGGAAGACCAGCCATGTTCAAACACCACCGGAGAGAAATAGGGGAAGCCTTTCTGTTCAGGCCACTTTGCTCTCGGTTCACCCCCAGCCACTTTTTACATATTTTTCTCTGTCAGCGTTTAAATCGGATCAGCTGAACTTAAATAAGCTGCTTAAAACATCGAAAGAATTCACTGGCACCTTGGCTTGATGAACACAACGGGCAGTAGGGTGGCTTAGCCTTTCTGGGGATTATGGGAAGAATTTGAATTTCTCAGCCTTCTTAAACATCCGCCCGACCGCAGCTGGTGTGATGACTTTTCAGGACTTAAAGAAAAAAGGAGAGAGATGTCGTATATTAATTTGCCGCCCAGGGTTTGACTGATTAATCCTTCCAGCAGAGAAGCTACACTTCGACAAACAGGGAAAGAAGATATAATGATGTGTGTAGTGAGACAGACAGAATAATTACAGAGAAGGAAAAATATAGAATCCCAGAGAAAGACCTAGAGGATGAAAATGTTAACATGGCTAGCTAAAAAACTCAAGTTTGTTCATGGTAACTAAGCTGATTTAGGGCAGATTATTAGATATATTTGATAACATTTGAAATATCTTGCTAGATGAGTCTATAGTTAATCGAATGTGAAGTTTAGTGAACATAAAAAAGCGGATTGATTTTAATGGTTACCTTATCTTTATAGCAATTAATATAGTGATGTTTGTTGTCTATTATTTATATACTAATTGAGAATATATTTAAGAAATGTTGTTTTATTAATATGGTACTTATATTATTTATGTATTTTAGTTAAATAATTCAGTGTGGCTCATATATTTTTTATGTGGTCACTCTTTGCTGCAATTGTTAGTAAGTGACTTTATGCTTCCACCTATTCCCTTTTGAATGCCTTTTATCAACGCTAATTTACAAGTGGCGCAGAGTATTTCACATATGTCTCTCTCAAATTCAAGGTTCAAGGTTCTTTATTGTCAAACTGACATAGCTACAGAGTAATTATGTTGTTGAAAATCTTATGTCACATGCTTCTCCAAAAATGCAACATAATAATAATAATACAGATAGTAAGAGTAATACAAAAAGAAAAATAGTTATAAAATAAAGTGAGTATGTGGAATAGTGCAGTACGAGTCTATATACAAGTTATTGGAATGATATATATTAGATATTAGATATATATTACTGAGTAGCAGATGAATGTTTTGAAATTGTTTCAGCAGTTCAATTGTTTAACAGTCTCACAGTCTCAAATTGTATGAACCTTAGTAATATCAACCTGGTATATATACAGAATTCTGCCTTGAAATGTACATTGATAGAGAGGTTGACATGCATAAACAGCACGTCAGAAATAAGACACAACAGTGTAATGCTAATATATATTAGGGTAGATATTACAGGGCTAAAAACAAGCCACGCCCACTGGAGCAAATCAGAAAATGTACCTTCATGAGAAAACAACACAATGCCTTACAAAGGCACCAAAGAACCCAGCAAAGTAACGATGATTGTAGATTATAGTTGTTCCTCAAATATTCAGATTTCTCTGTTTTATATTAAATTAGACTGAATATATTTTGGCCTGACACAACAAGACAAATAAAGACGTCTACTGCGGGACTTTGAAATTGGTTTGGACATCTTTTATATTTTCTGAAATTTTTTAAACAGAACAATTAAACAATGAATCTAGAAAAATAATCAGCAGATTAATAGACAATAAAGAAATGATCTGTAGCTGCAGCCCTATTGTTATCTCCCCTAACGGGAATGTGTTGCCATCACCACAGGGAGTCAGGTGTTTTTAGCTGTGGGGTCCTATGGGAGAGCTCTGCAGGCTTCAGGCATTGTGTAGGACAGCTTTGAAGTCGCTTTCACTTCACTTCCTGGGTTTAACTGTTGGAAAGATGTGCAACTATCAACGAAAAGTCTCTGTGGTTGATCTGACAACTTCCTTCCTATCTCTGTTAACCTCAGACACACACACACACACACACACACACACACACACACACACACACACACACACATACACATACACATACACACACACACACACACACACACACACATACACATACACATACACACACATACAAACCCAGTGTAACTGTGTAAACAAGCCGTTATCTTTATTTTTACCCAGCAGCAGGAAACAGATCAAATAAAAGTGCAGCAACCCAAAGAGAGTGAGAGAGTGAGAAAGGGAGAGAGAAGTACAAATGAAACACATAAAGAGAGAGAGGGGAGGGAGTACTCACTCAGTGGAAAGTAGGAAAAAGCAAACTCATCCTTCTTGTCGCACACTTCTAGCGTTACAGAGAGGGAGAGGGAGGAACAAACAGGTGTGTTGTACTATACCCTCGCTCCCCCGCCCCTCCTCCTCTCAGTGGGCGGGGCCTGGCTCCTGAGGGACTCTCGAAAGCAGCCATTCGTCTCCTCCACTCTCAGAGAGAAGCTAAACCTGTCAGCAGCACTCCTCTACTTTTACTTCTCCGACATTTCTCTTCCTCCTCCTCCTCCTTCTCCTTTTGGACTCTAAAGCGTCCTTGCTGTTGGGAGTTAGAGGAGTCAAGATGATGCAGGAGGTGTCCATCATGGTGGCGTACGACGCTCATGTAGTCGACCGACCGGGTGAGGAGGACATCCTCACCCGTCTGGTGGCCCACTCCAGACCTCTCAGGGCTCCCAGACCGGTGGTAGGTCTGTTCTCTTGTCACTTTGTTTGTTTCGTTGTTTTTTTACAGTCTTTCTTTGTTTTGTTCCTTCGTTCTACGCTCTCTTATGGGAGACATTCTTTTAGCAATTCCATCTGACTCTTATCTCTTATTAATGTTGGATTAGAGAAGTGGAATTAGTGTTTGCAATATTATTTTCTCAAAAGTATTTCACTCTGATTGTATTCTAACAATGCTAGATAGAGTTGTGTTGAGTGAGAGAAAACGACACGTCTCTCTCCCTGAGGTAGATGTTGCATACTCAAATGTGTGTTGGTGTGTGTGTTTTGGGTTCCAAATGAAAGTGTGTCTGATTTGTTTAGGCTAGTAAGCTTTGTCAGTCATTTCGGACAACAATCTTGTTTGTTTCAACTACTGATATCAATTTGGAATCAATTGTGTGTGTGTGTGTGTGTGTGTGTGTGTGTGTGTGTGTGTGTGTGTGTGTGTGTGTGTGTGTGTGTGTGTGTGTGTGTGTGTGTGTGTGTGTGTGTGTGTGTGTGTGTGTGTGTGTGTGTGTGTGTGTGTGTGTGTGTGTGTGTGTGTGTGTGTGTGTGTGTGTGTGTGTGTGTGTGTGTGTGTGTGTGTGTGTGTGTGTGTGTGTGTGTGTGTGTGTGTGTGTGTGTGTGTGTGTGTGTGTGTGTGTGTGTGTGTGTGTGTGTGTGTGTGTGTGTGTGTGTGTGTGTGTGTGTGTGTGTGTGTGTGTGTGTGTGTGTGTGTGTGTGTGTGTGTGTGTGTGTGTGTGTGTCCCAACATGGGTAATTTAATTCAATGGTCTTGTTTTTTCCCTGAGATCTTCGGTTGGTTTTGTCCTGATTTCAATATTCAAATAGTGTATGTAAGAGCAGATCACGCTTCTACAGAAACACACACTAACACACCTTCTTGTAGTTTAATACCCACTATAACATACATTTAGCGATCTCAGCTCAGAGGTTTGGGACCAACTCCATTTTCTGCTACAGGGATTCAGGTCAGGAATCTAAAAGTGGACCCGGCACCAGGCGCATTACCTGAATCAGAGTGGCCCCTCTGTCCTCGGGGTGGCCTCTCATATTTATGGAGGAAGTTTAGCAAAGATGATATTAGCTTGCATCATTTGCTTTGAGCCCTTGAACTGCAAGTGTGTATGTTTTTATCAGCGACCATGTGTGTTGCTTTCTGAAGTGGCCTTGAGCTTAATGCTGAGCGCTGCACATGCTCAGTACTTGTAACTCAGCAGAGCAGGCTAATATCACTTTATTAAGTTTGAGACATTTTCCATAAGGGCGAAGACACTGGGAACGTCTTGATATAATATTAGGGCGTTTTACACTTTCCTCCAATACCGCAGATAAGTTGTAATGTTGGTGACCTGAGAATTTCAACTTATTTGACGGTGTTGCTGACCTGAATAAATATATCAGCTACATGATGCAAACAAAACATCAGTAATTATAAAGGGCAGCAGTCTCTCTGAAGTCAGGGGGAAGTCACAGAGTTCTGTAGTTGAGTCATATATATTCATATATTCATTGCATAAGAGGTTTTTTTAAAACATATTGTTACACCAAGACTGAAATATATCAGGACATTTTGGAGCCTATTTTGAGAGATGGCAGCACTCTGATGCAGTTCATATGGGAAGTTCATGGAGGTGAGGATCCGTGTGATTGTAGTTGTAGCGGGTCTGTATGTTTGAACAAAAGCCTCACCCCTCACAGGTAAGCACTGCCTGGCTGTGCGTTGCATTCATTACGCAGCCATTCTGTAGTGTTTGTGTGTCTTAGGGGTGTTGGAGGGAAGTGGGTTGCATAATCAGTAGCTAGACTTCAGCCTGTGTGTCGATCATTTCTGTTGAATATGTAGCTGAAAGAGAACAATGTAACATTTCACTGGCAGTACATTTGAAAAAGAAAATGAGGGTTAATATCTGTTATAAAAACCCTTTCCTGTATTGTGTAATTACATGCATGTTTTGAAGTGTGTGAGAAAGAGAGACACTTCTTTCTTGTTGAAGTTCTCTATTTTATATCAGCAGGGTGATGTAAACCCAGAATAAAGAGGTTTAACCCTCGACATGCTTAAGTGTCCTTGAGCAAAACTCTGTCCGTCTACCAGCTGGACCTGATCTCTGAACTCTGCTCTTCTCAGCCAATCAGAGTTCAATGTTGTGAGGACTTCATTTGAACATGCATTCACTTTCAGATGGGTGCAATCATTTTATATTCTATAACATTATTCTAATATTGAGGCATGGAATTTAAAATTGCGATTGCTAAAGAAAGAAAGAGCTATGGTCGCATGAAATAGCCAAAAGAAACATCTTTAACAAAGCATGCAGCATGTGCACTTTACTGATAAAGTGTGCAAGCTGGAAAAGAGAGTAAAAATCATACTGGCAGTTTTCTTCTCAAGCTGCAGTGGAAACCCATCACAACACATACAGCAAGCATGGAAAATATGACACAACCAGTATCTTTTGTTGGTGCGGTAGATAGTGTAGGAGAATGCTTACAGGCCATAAATGAGTTGTGAGAGGAGCAAGTGACACGTGGGTTTCAAGAACATGTGGGTGTGTTCTAGTTTTAAAATGAAAATGGCAAATGTGGAGTTGTTTAAAATATCAGGAAACACAAGCGTCACATGTCCCTCCCTCTCCTCTTGTAGTGTTCAATTTATGTTTTGGGTACACATCTAGAATGATTTTAGGCACACTGGTTTCAGCACACACAGGTGGGCCAGAGAAGCTAAAAAGGAAACCACTTATTTACTGTTTGAAACATGAGCAAGTAAAATTAAGGTTGAACTGATGTAGTGGGCCAGAAAATAATTTCATCACATTGTTGCAGAAAAGAGATGCAGTATACCATGATGAAAGACTTCTGAGGCCTTTTTACAGGGACAAGACAAAAACAAAAACATTTTTACAATTCAAAAAGAATCAGATCTCCTCAATTTCACACTGTCAACCAAGGAGTAAGAAGGAGTTTAATCTCCATCAGCCCATTGGATCACTCATTGATCTATAGCTGAAGATAAAACATGAGTAAAACTCGATTAATTAAAAGACTGTTTGCATGAAAAACACCTCACAGCTCTGTGAGTGTGTAAGTGGATGTGCTGGTGCCTGCAGTGAAAACACACATCGTTTTGTTACAATAAAACGATTACTAGCCAGCCTGCAGAGACCGAGCTCCTCTTTCTTCCCACTCGGATAACAAAAGATGAGATCTGTAATCTACTGGGAGGTGGGGTGTCAGATGGATTACTGTGTGACAGTCATTCACCTCAGAGGGTCGTGAGCGTTAACCTGCAGGTCAGTGAGGGGGACAGGTAATGAATAAGCGGCCTGTTCAGTTTCCTTCATCTCTAATACAATGCTCTTCTTTTGAATTAGTTTTTTTGGATACTATTGACTTATTCTCTAGGATGTTCTGCATTTTTAACATGGATATGTTCTACTCCTGTGTGCATGGTCACAATATTCTTGAAAAAGGCCACCTGTTTCATTCCTTTACAAAAGAAAAAAATACGCAGACGTGAGATTTGAATAGTGTTATTGAACAGTTAATGATGCCATGTCATATTTGTAAAATTAAATAAGATTCATTTGTTGTTATTGTGTCAGATCTGTAAATATCACACTGCAGCAGACTGTGACAAAGTATTTGTGTTCAACATTTAAGATGGACGCCAGTTAGCTGCTGTGTCTTAGTGTTAGAGTGATTATTTGGCTGTTTCAGCAACTGTTTTTATTGTGATGATTTACATATAAGTGAATGAACAACAAAAGGGAAATGCATTAAGGCACATATACTGTACATCCTATGATTTGTATAGTGCTGACACTCAATAAGGAACACATGAAAGATACAACAAATAAATAACTGCACCCATATAATAGTGGGCCAGGTTCTTAATATTACACACCACACACAAACACACACCAGTCTCAGAGGAGGGGGTCATGTGACTGGGACTGACCTGGAATCCCTAGCCCTAACTGTGGGCGCTATGGCAACACTGTTTCCGCACAGGGGAGATAACATTACCGCCCGCCTGAAACACACACACACTCAATGTCACATCATACCTAGTGTGGAAATGTCTGACGACGTACTGTAGAGAACAACTTACAGAAACATGTACTACTGTCGTCATAAATATAGAGTAGGTACAAAATATAAGCTGTGCGGCAAAATAGCACAATGTTCAGCTGCCATATTCAGAGTTAGTTCAGTCATGTTGTTTATATGAAAAATGAAGCTTATCCGAAAATCACCCAGCATCATAATACTTATTGGACATGTTGACCCTGTTGAATATGTGTTAACTGTATTGTGTTGAGCTGCTGACCTCTGACCCTTCTTGTCAAATGTTAACTGGTGTATTTGTCTCGGGGAGAAGACAGGAAAGTCATATTTTTTCTGAGAGAAGTAAGCTATGAGAAGGTCTCTAGTTTGAATCCTACTGAGAAAGCTAGAGTCAGAGAGATGTCAGTGGCACCTACTGATCATAGTCTTTTACAGATAGCTTCACTGATCAATGTTAAAAACCTCTCAAGATAAAGTTGCTGGGCTGAGATTTTATCATGCATCTTTTGGTGTACGAAAGGTAAAACAAAAAAACGTTTCTTCTGTTTTAAGGTTCCAACCAAGAAGCTGAAGAAGTTTGAGAAGGAATATCAGACACTGAGAGAGAGCCAGCTGCAACAGGAAGACCCCATCGACCGATTCCAGGTAGGACGTGAACCACAAACACACACACACACACACACACACACACACACACACACACACACAAATGTTTATGTTACACATGACATAAAAACATTGTGGATTGGTGTAAGAGCCGCATGGTTTCCTTTTCGATTTTAATTGAATAACTTCTCAGGTAGTGTTCAGTCTTAGAGATGGTAAGAAAACGCTTGGCCCTTTGATATATTTTAAGTTTTTTGTTGTGGAAAGAATTTGCTAAAATTAGCCGCGTTCCTCTAAAGTTAGACATCTCCTGTGAAGACATTACTGATTTGTCAAACTGTACCTTTGTTAATACTTGTGACGCTGTTCTGGCTGGAGAAAAAAAAGACTGTTCACACATCAGATCATCAAACATCATTTATTTCTGGGTGTTGTCAGATCTTTTGGCTGCTGAATGTGACTTTCTTCAGAGGGTAAAAACAGGAGAGGGGGAGAAAAGATTCAGACAGCATCTCTTCCTTTTATTTGCTCCATTGAATCCGCTGTTATTTTCTTTGCTCAATGCTTACATAGAAATGAATACACTATTTAGTATTGGACAGATTTTCAGTTACATATTTGTTATTATCCCCTCCTTAAAGTTTACTATAACGTTTTAAAGTTAAGACCCAGTTTAAGACAGAAACAACCTATTCACCATTTAGGTCAAATGTAAATACAGGTTAAACTTTTCAGAGCTCTCAAAGCGGTTTTTTAGCAAGAAAATATCAACATAACCTTCTATTTTAGGGTGAAGGAACAATATACCTTTATGATTCTATAGACGCCTATAGACGAAATAACCTTTTTTTTTAGACCATGGCTAGAGATCACTGTATTTCGACCTTTATCAGGATGCAGGATGTGCAGAGGTTACAAGGATTTCGTTTGACAACTACATCACCCAGAGATACCTAGTATGTTGCAGTTGTTGTAAAAGATAGTTTGTTCCAGTTTTCTGCTTGAACCTAACGCCTCCCCTCTTCGACCCTCACCTTCATAATGAACTGAACTAGTGTAAACATTTCAAACTTGGTCGTTGTTTCAGTGTTCCCCCCCCCACGCCTAAGCCTTATTCAAGATGCGCACAGGGCAGGCCTTGCGCAGCTGATGGCATTCCTTTGTCCTTAATTGAATTCACTGGAAAATGCTTGGTGGTTAAGCTGAAACCAAGACAGACAGAGTTTTTTTGTTGGTAACTCCTCAAACTATTTTGCAGCCATCGGCTTGTTCCCTTTGATGAGTTGAACGTTTTAAAGAAAAACAAGAAACCTTTCTCCTAGCTAAACACATTCATGAGCAATTACTAATCAATACAACTCTGATTTACTCAAATAATATCCAAAAAGTAGTAATTATGAGGGGATACAATTTAATGAATAAGAATTAAGACAAGAATAAAACAAGTATTAAACATTTGAGTGAAACAACAGCTCACATGATGGGTTTGGCGGGGACAGCAGTGCTGTGTCAGCTGCTGGTTCTGAAGGAAAGGAAGGGAGACGCTCTATTGTTGATAAGAAGTTGGAGCAGAGCCATCTCCTCTGCAGTCACTGGAAATCATTTCTTACAGAGCAAGAAGACACAGCAGGGGAATGTTTCTGCTTGTAACTTAGCACAGGTTTAAATTATACTCTTCTTGGATTTGAGAAACTTGATTGTTACTGTAGTTACATTTTTGTATATGGTTTACACTCCAAGTACAGGTACGTACCTATTGGGATGTACAGTATTGTTTGAGGTGTGTATTTGTCTTTGTATGTGCATGTACCGTTTATACTGTATGCATAATATCTATGGTCAAATATTGAACTCTTCTTGAATGCTTTCAATATTTATCCGTATAAAAGATAAAAATGTGTAGAAAAAATGAGCGAGAGGAAGAGAGAGTTAAGCAGGATATGGAAACGTTTAAATGTGGGACGTTTTAAATGTTGAACGCAGCATGGTAAGCTGCCTCTGCTCCAACAAAGATTTCCCTTTCAGAGATTGTTATGCCAACAGCTTCTACCCATCATAATCATATTTATATAATACACTTAGAGCTGTGTCAAATGTATTATTCTCTGATTGATATTGCCATGTTGAAGTAGACCATTCAGTGAGATTTTAAAAGCTAGAGAATGTAAGATTTTAAAGACTTAACCAGTCTAAAGAATGACAGCAGATGATAACTTTCCACACAAACAACGTAGCCCAAATTAAACCCATCATCGGAAATGAATAATTCATTCTGAAGAGCAGCTTACATGTGACTGAGTGTGATTCTAATGTGTGTGTTGTGATCTGTACTTTAAACATACATGATTATATTTAAAAGGTGCTCCAGCAAATCAGCTTTATACTATTTTATACATGTATTTATAAGATGTGTGTGTGTGGATACAAATGTCTGTGTATGTGTTGTCATTGTGAGGGGGACAGGGCCGTGGGGTCAGGTGACCGCACATAACCTTGTCGACTGATTGGTCTGCATGTGAGACTGTTTATAGGCACACCAGAAGTCATGAGACTCCACTAATGGTCTACAAAGGGGACTTTCTTTTCAGAACGAAAGCTGCTCATTTAATTTCGGACTTTCAGGACATATGCTACAGTACATTACATTACATTTATTTGCTACAAACAAATAAATAGAATATATTACATTTATTGTCAAGTGAACAAAAAAGGTTGTTAGCATTACTTCTGTTATCAGATATATCACCACGTATGTGCTAAAATAAGTTACATTCATAAAAAAAACATCATATTCTGCAGTAAGATTCCTGAGATTACTGACATAATCACTTAATCAAAAACAACGACAACGATCTTGTTTGTTTCAACTACTGATATTGTGTGTGTGTGTGTGTGTGTGTGTGTGTGTGTGTGTGTGTGTGTGTGTGTGTGTGTGTGTGTTGTGTGTGTGTGTGTGTGTGTGTGTGTGTGTGTGTGTGTTGTGTGTGTGTGTGTGTGTGTGTGTGTGTGTGTGTGTGTGTGTGTGTGTGTGTGTGTGTGTTGTGTGTGTGTGTGACTGTGTGTGACTGTGTGTGACTCTGTGTGTATAGAGGGAGAATCGTCGTCTTCAGGAGGCCAGCATGCGACTCGAACAGGAGAATGACGACCTGGCCCATGAACTGGTAACCAGTAAGATTGCCCTTCGGAATGACCTTGACCAGGTAACACACACCTCCACAGCACGTCCTCAAACTCACAGTATAGTCCGCTAACTTTGTCTGAAGTTAAAGCTGTATTTATTTATCTATCTGTTTAGTCTGGTTGTTCATACATGCAGTATTTGTTCCCCAACTGACAACATACATGCTACTAAGCAAATTAGAAATGTGCTGTAACTAGCTACATTTTTACATAGTCATTTCAGACTTTGAGTTTATTAAAAAGCTTTCTTCTGACAGAAACAGACAAATGCAGCTGAAGGTGTTTCCTGATTTTAAAGCTGGAGTGTGGAGTTTTTCTCCCCCCCCCCTCTGGCAGTGAGAGAGCTATAGAAACCATAGCAGGGTAGCAGCAGCTAGGACCATGGCAGAAGCTATGTTTCAGGAGTGGCTAAATTATAGAAAAACACTTGGCCTTCAGAGGAATGATTAAAGTAAAAAAAAAAGTGTACAAGCAGACAGATACCGTTAGCTCAAACGCTCTAAAGCTCAAAAGCATGCAGCCTAGGGAAGCTATCACGGACAGCACAGCTCCAGTATACTGTGAAACACAGACAGCTTTCCGTGGCAGCAATAGACTTAATCAGCATTGTGTTAACTCGTTTGGACAGGGCTTAAATCTAACAGAGGTTCATTGATAGGTAAAAGTTTTGCAACACAGATTTAAATGCTCTTCCTCCAAAGCTTTTGTTAAGGTGCTCATAAGCAATTGACTACTTTGTCTGTACTGGATAGTTCTAAATGAGTCTGTAGAACGGTATTCATGAGTAAAATAGTACAGATGATGAAAGTGCACATTTTCCAGTGTGTCAAGTTCTGAATGTGTTTGTGCACTCTGGTGGGTCTGTGCTACAGTTGCAGATTTGTTGTTTAATGAATGTTCTGGTTTGTGTGTGTTCATGCAGGTCGAGGACAAGGCCGATGTATTAAACAAGGAGCTGCTGAGCACCAAGCAACGACTGGTGGAGACAGAGGAGGAGAAACGACTACAGGAGGAGGAGACGGCCCAGGTATCACCTGCACTCTCTTTATAAGCTCAGCCTTAACAAACCACACGCCTCGTTGGCTAATTAGCTCAGTGATCTCTGCAGTCAATGCTTTGTATATCGTGGAGTTTAGTTTGGTAATAACACACACAGATTTGAGCAATTCTTTATGTGGCAACAGTGTGTCTCCTGTGAAGTTGGCCAAAGGGCTTCACTGTTCAGCTATAATACTGAAATGCACAAGTAATAACACACTACTTAAATCAGTTTTAGTTATGGACCAAATCAAATGTATCCCTAGGTGGCTTTACTGACTATAAAGTCGCCTTGTCACAACAGAATAAGTGTGCTAGTTAAAGAAGCAATCCAAAAGAGTTATCTAGAAAAAATGACACATAATCAGAATTGAAATGGTACTCATTAGTTGTGTTGATCAAGAGCGTAATCAAACCACAAACAAAATGTATGGACTCTATCGGTTGCAACCTTTAGGGTACCTTTAAAACTAAGCACAACCTTTCCTGCGAGTGGTGGTTTATAATATCACCAAAAGTAGCCAGCATTGCTAAAGTCATATATTATGTTTTGTAAATGAGATACTGATGTGTGAATGTTAATAATTCTTACCAAAGCCCTGACATTTGCATTTGTATAAACATTGTGTTCACCGTTCTCATTCGTGTACACTTCAATGTATTTGTCATGTTGTTTTGTTTCTCCCAGCTGAAGGAAGTGTTCAGGAGGGAGCTGGAAAAAGCCGAGCTGGAGATCAAGAAAACCACAGCGATCATTGCTGAATACAAACAGGTTTGACTGTTTCAATAACCTAAATAAATCCACCTGCTGTATTCAAAATTGATAGTATTAATAGTAAATGATTAGTGTCACTCTGACCATTCATACCCAACTAATAGTAACTGTTAACACAAAGTAACAGGGTAATACAGATTGCACTACACACCAGATGAAACCCAAAGAACATGGATGTTTTTTCTTGAATATGTGGAAATATGTATGTGAAATTTACTTTTAAGGAAAATATCATAATGCTGAGTTTTATTGAAGAAACAGGAGTAAAATAAACGTAACTGAATCTCTTCTCTTGAATCATGCCTGCCTTACTCCTTTAGGCTTTTTATCCCGTGCACAACAGTAGAAAATTAGCCTTTTTACTTACTCAAGCAAATGTACATTGGTGTTGATCAATGAGTATTTTAAAAAAGAAATAAAAATACAGTTGAGTTTAAATGTGTTGTCTACTATATAAACAAACTTCCTCTCCTTTTTTCAGATATGCTCCCAGTTAAGCACCCGGTTGGAAAAACAGCAGGCGGCAACAAAAGAAGAGCTGGACATCGTCAGGGTGAGATCACACTGTTAATAAACAGCTGATGCACGTTAGGGAGACATTCAAACCTAAACTAAAACCACCATTTGTTGCATTAGGGAACATGTTTCTTTGCAGCATTGTTCTGTTAGGACACGCTCAGGTTGAAACATTATTACACTAATAAAGAACCCGATTGCACAAATGATCCCACGTGGCTCGTTTAGCCCCGTCAGACATGCAACGTCTCGCTTGGTAGGTGTGGCAGTTTATCCATCCTGAAGAAAGAGATCAGTCTTTTAATTTAATGTTTTTCCAGTTTATTCAGGAAAGAAATGCCGTATACAAGTTAATGTCACACTTTCTCCTGTGTGATGGTTGGTGAACCACAGGACCCTGACACTGCAGTCATGAGACGTTTTTTAAAGAATTACTGTCATTAACATATAAATACTACTTATATGAGATGGATCTGAGAGAAAAGAAACCTGATTTGGAGAAAACAATGTTGGATAATGTGTAAATATGGTCTGATTAATGTAAGCTTCGGCTGAACTGTGTATAACATGTTTACCCAACACAGATTGTTGGATTAAAAAGGTTGAGCTGGGAATATAGTGTGATGAAATGGATCAGCTGGGGATTGAACTTTCCTTGGGCAATAAGTACATGACAGGAATAGTGTGTACAAATATGTTTAATGGGTCTGCCTATGAAGTCCCATCCACCAGGAAAAATAAAGGAAACGCACTCCAAGTCCTCTTTTAAATTAGTTTTAGTCTTCATCAAGGCATAGTGCTCTTACACGGATACATCACTGTCTAGATTAAGCAGGCGTCTGCATTAGTACAAAGATAAATCAACTAAAAACACCAAGATATTACTTTCAACTCAAGACAAGCAAGTGTACTTCCACACCAGATGTATTACTTTGTTTTGGCACAGCACTTATTTTTAGCATATATTTGTACATGTCCATACAGTGTGTTCACCCACCACCCTAACGCCTGTGTGTGTTTGTGTGCCCCTGCAGAGTAAAGTGATGGGCTGTGACCGCTGTAGGGACCTGTTCACGACCCTGGGGTCCCTCCAGACTTCGTCCCCCGGGAGAGACCACACATCCACAGAGCCCATGGACGAGGAGAAGGACGGCCTGAAGGAGCAGCTGAGGCATCTGGAGCTGGAGTTGGCTCAGACCAAACTGCAGCTGGTGGAGGCCAAGTGCCGCATGCAGGTGAGCAACACCAGGGAGGACAAGGGTGGAAATACAAATAACAACAGAGATGTCAAGTCTGTGGCACTACTCCCTCAGAAAATGCATATAATATGAAGATGTAAAGTTAGTATATACAAAGAAAGTGTGTAAAAAAGGTAGAAACATAGACACCAAACACAAATAAGGTAATATTCATGCTAGCTAGCTTTATGTAGGTACAGCAACACTTGAAGCTAAATGCTAACTTCCACATGCTCACAGTAAATAAGTCAAAATGCAGATTTTTTGCAGATTCTTAAAACACAAGCATTTTAACTTGTCTTATTGTAGCATGCTAGCAGGCTAATAAGTGTAAAACAAAGCTACTAGTATTGGACAAATACAAAACTTGACCTGAGGAAGGAGCCTCAGTATTGTACTCTATGATCATACTGTAATTGAGATATATTTCTGAAGGGTACATTGATACCTCTACTACATTTTGTAGCAATCCAACCACTAGTTTTTCATACATTTCACTAAAAACAAAACTTTTAAATTCATAACATAACAAAGAAGTGAGACACTACAAAAAAAACACCTTCCACACAATCCATGAAAAAAAGTACATGCAGCTGCTGACACTTAGTTGATACACCAAGAAGACGGTGTATATCAGAATACACAGCTGCATTGAAAAGACTATCTGGCTTCCTTTTTGAATTGTCAATTGCCATAAAGTGCTTAAAGCTGATGGAAATATGTTTAGTAGCTGAACAGTCAGGATCACATGTTGTTAGACTTGGAGCTAAAACAAATGATAAACTTCTGTCTCTTTGCAGGAGCTGGAGCACCAGCGGGGGGTCCTGATGAACGAGATCCAGGCAGCCAAGAACTCGTGGTTCAGCAAAACTCTGGGCTCCCTGAAGAGCTCCTCCTCCTCTTCCTCTTCCTCCAGCTCCACGTCCCAGACCCCGTCCTCTCCGAAGGAGGGGCCTGCCTAAACAACCCCTCCCTCCATATCTCCTTTCCCTGCAGGATGCACACTAGAGCTGAGGAACAAAAGTTGAAGGAACAAGCGGCGGAGAAATGCAGTATTCTTTTTCCAGCAGGTGGCAGCATAGAGCTCGCCAGCTTCTTGGACTGCAAACAGCTGAAAATATGAGGGAGGAAACGGGCGGATGACTGCTTCCTGTTTCACTTAATGTTTACGTTTGAGTGAACAAAACGTAAATGTCACAGGTGACAGGCGAGGGTGGATCATCATGAGGCTCAGCAGCCGTTATCTACACGTTTATTGTTGAGTTCTCATTATAGGAAAGCTGGGTAAACACACAATGGCTCTTATTGGTGGATTATTTAGCTCCGCCTTGTGACCAGATATTGCTACTGCAGTTAGTTCATTTATCTGTGTGAAATTATGATTTATGTAGCTGAAAATTACAATCAGTCTCACAATTTACATAATATTTTCAATGAGTGAAACAGCTACAGGTGCCGATATATTATACGTTTAATGCATAGATATGTAGAGACCTTCAGCGCAGCAAAGCTACAGCACTCTGAAAAAAGAATACTGCATTCAGTCTTAAACAAAAACAACACAAAAAGTTGTATTTCTTTATAGTAATATAACGTTAATAATGTTGTCATATAAATATGTATAACTAATTATTGATTTTTGTAATAATCTTGTACAGTTCAGAAAAAAAGGAAAAGTTCTTTGTTATTTTTTTTTTACCGTTTGGAAATTGAATGTCAACTCCCTAGATGTTGGTAAGCACAGTCGGTCGAGTCCAAACGCTGAAGACCCACAGTGACAGCCTGCAGAGAGTTTGATGTCACGGGTTGAACTCATGGTGTGAATTATCACTAAACGCGCATGCAGCCATAAATGAGTTCACAGTTGTGGTGCCAGCAGAAATGGGCTCTTTTTGAGTGAATGTCTCCAAAATGTTTTTTTTAAATAACTGGTTGTAAATTTGAAAATGTTTTTTAAATTCATTTGTTAATGTTATTGTTTTAGAGTACACAGTTTGTCTTTGGAGTGTGCAAACAAGCAGTATAGTTGGAGGTAAAAGGACTTGTGATTTATTTCTGGCATTAGTTCTTTTTACAGACTTTAAAAAAGGCTTCTATTGATCCAGATAATCCATCACAGTACTCATGGAGGAACTGATTATACCTGCCTGTGTTACGTAACGCTGTGCAGACAACACCTACAGGAAGTACTCAAAGTAGTCACCTGTTCATACCTGTTACTGTTATCCAACTTCCCTGTAGATATAGAGCCAGTGCGTTAAATTAGGTAACTCTAATGTTCAGTATGCTCTAAAGTGTCTGTTACAAAGCACAGTCCATCCCTAAATAAACACCTAGCAAAGCATAAATAAGCAAAATTAAGCTGCAAGATCCCCCCGTCATTGCCAAACAGTTCTCAGGCCATTTTGCACAGCTGGGCCAACACCTTGATTCCCTCTGTCTGGTTATAACGACACACTTTGTAATTGATTCTTTACACAAAGATTGAATTAGGCATGTTTATACCTGAATCTTTCCTGTGGTCAGTTGCTGTGCTAACTATTCAGAATAAACTGTATTAAATGTTACCAGCCAACTAGTTATTTCTTGAAATTGAGAACTTATAAACTCTAAATCTTAAAATGTAGCGATCTTTATTTATGTACAGGTAATTCTGTCAGTAAAATAAATTCATGTATGCTTGATATATTAATGCAACAAGGGACTACTAACTTTAAGAACAAAATAAATGAAAACAAACATACATGTTCTACTTATTACTGCATTGCTGCTTGCTAATAACAATATTAGGATTGAGGACCACAGCCACGACACAAGGATGATTCATTGTATGTGTACTCGGTTGAAAAATAACAAAAAATTGCCAAAAAGTCTGTGTAGCTTTAACATGTATGTTAGTGCTGTGTTAGCAGAACGCTGCAGTGTAGGTGCCAAATATCCCCATTTATTGTCCACTGCTGTTGTCACTGAAATCAGCCTTTGGACTCGGACCAAGCCCATGTGTAGTTGTGTGTGAGTGTGTTATTGGGTGTGTATGTTCTTGTGTGTTCTGCACTGTAACCTAAGTGGTTGAAGTTGAAATGGTTTCTTCTTCACATGGCTGCCTTTTCTGTTGATGACTGAAGCCGTTGCCTGAGGAGAGGAAAGCCATCTGACAGTTTGTAATGTCCGAGAGTGTCTGCGGTGCGATAAGAGCGTCCCCTCTGCTCCGTCCCCAGACGTCTGTCCCAACAACCATGTCTTCTGATCCTATTGACAGATCTGCTGAATCTCATTTTCAGCAGTATGCTTGACACATTTCCACCGAGAGCCCCCCAGTACGACCATTGTCCTCTCACTGGCGGCCTCTGAGGAAATGCATCAATATCATGGCCAGGGAGAAAAAGGAATCATTGAATCCCATGTGTTTTGCATTTCCAGGACATTCCTTCTTCACAATCGTTCATCATTCAAAGTCCTACAACCGGTTAAATGTAAACTGTGGGCAAGTTGTCTTTTATGTGCACTAACACAATGTTGATATTTTAAACACTATTTCAAGATGTACGTTTGTTTAAAAGTAATCCTGAGCACAGAGCATAATTATTTTTTAACTGATGATTTAATGTCGCAGAGAGGACAGCTGCCAATTTATAATCCACTCTAATTCATTTCATTTGTAACGCCTACAAGAGCAGGCGGGGAGTCGCGTTAGAGGTGTGTGTGTGTTACACAGAGAGGGACTGGTCCGACTCAACACTGTAACTGTACAGTAACTGTCTGACCCGCATTAATAAATCTCAGTTTTTCTGTTCATGCACTTTGGGCAAATGTTTACTTTAGTTATTGATTATGGACAGCTTAAATCATGTTGACTATTAAAACTGAGATATTTCCCCCTCATTAAATAATGTTATGAAAAAAAGTTAACTTTAATGACTCGACTGAAAACGACGATTTTTTGATGATTGTGTAATTTATTAGTGCGTAATTGATGTTTAAAATGATGACACTACTCCTACAAACATAACATTTTAAATGTAGTCTTTACTTCCTTTACCAAATTTAAAACTACGAGTTTATGTTAATTATATTGTTAATTGGACTGATTTAAACACAAAAGTAGTAAACTTCAGGCACACAAAGGAGTATGAGTAATGGGGCGTTTTGAAATACCCTTATTGGTCACTTGGCTTGTTCATGAAACAATTGATTTAAATAAAGATGTCGACCTCAGCACGTCTTAATCTGTTTCAGATCAGGGAATAACTGAGCATCACCTTCTTGTGCCTTCATTAGGAGGTGTGTCCTGATTGGATAATTGGACAACATGCGGGACATGAGTTTCCACATTGAGGATTTTTAACCCATTTTCTGTAGAGAATTTGTTTTGGTTTGTTTGAGTTATTTTCAGGACTCACTCATTGGCAACCAAACCATTATCTTATTAAACTGCCACACGACCAAAACATCTCAGGTTAAATATCAGCCTCGGGATAGTTGTCACATCTCACAGCCCCTCGCTCACATTTGCACATTGTACTTTGGGTCAATTGAATTTAAAAGAGCCAACAAATTAAATAAATGTGGATCTCAGTGTTTGTGCGCATTACTACTTTTAATTAGTTTATTCATTTTAATGTACATTTTGTATTACCACACATATAATAATTGTATTTTGAAGGGGGTTATTGGAATTCTTAGACACATTTTAGCGACAAAACTTTTGTTTTCGAAATAACAAAAAACAGGTCCAATTGAAATTTGTGTTGCAGTTACAGGTCGCATTGCAATTTGTACCCTTACAAAGAGCATGTATCAGCCAATATAACAAATTATTTCTGTAGAAGAAAATCCATGACTGAACATGTTAAAGGTGGGGTAGGTAATTTTGGAGAAACCAGCTTGAGTGTGCTAAAATTTGAAAATACACAGCCGGAAAAAATCTGCTACTTCCTTACGGAGCCCCTCCTCCAACACACACAAACGCGCACATGATCAATGAGGGCACGAGATAAGTTTGTGCACAGATGGAAGGCTGACAGGCAGGTAGGCCATCCAGTTATTTTAGCCGGGCCGGCTCAAATGATTGGTCGTGCTTTTTACAGTACTACGGCTTCCACAGATTAATTTTTTTTATGGATTTTTTGTCAAAGCACTTAAGATATTCATTGCTATCGGGATGTTAAGAGCATTCCATGGAATATAACAAAAAGTGTATCTCGAGCCGGTTTCTCAAACTTACCTACCCCACCTTTAACTTTATTTTGCATCACCTTTCACCATGTGTGCACTTAGCAGTCAAAACTTACAAGGATTGCTGAAACAACGTCTAATGTAACACTCATTGTGTGGAAAATTGAAAAAACGAAACAATAAAGCAGTAAAGAATAAATGATCATAGCTATATATAGTAATATCTGATAATATGTTAATAAGTCAAACTTATGGTTAAATGTCCAACTGAATGAAGAAAAATTGTACTGTAAATAAGTCTTTACACCTTTAATGAAAAAATTAAATAGCACTCTATCATGTCATAATTTCTACTCATGAAGTGACTTGAAATAGAACAGATATGTAACATTTTGGATCAGCTAACTGAAGTTTTGAACTCTAGTTTCTAAAGAAGAAAATGGGAGTTTCCAACTGAAAATTAGAAACTGTAATATCCTTATTTCACTTAAACTTGGCAAATTCCCTGAATGTGATGGACATTTCATTACAGTTGGACAAATAAAAACACCTGCTGCACAAATACTTGCTACTCTTTCGGGGTCGTCACACTTCAATGTTGCTGAATTTCTCACTAATGTCATCAAAGTAGTTGTCTGTGAAGCGAAGCATCTGGATGATGGCGCTCAGCAGCAGGGTAGTGCAGTCCGGGTCCAACTCCAACTCCTCGCTGTAGTTCTTCACGGGAACAACACAGGACAGCGGCACACCGAGACGAGCGCTGACCTCCTGCATCTGAATCACAAAAGGTTTAAATTAAACTAGTTCATGCCTTTTTCTAAAGACAACAAAGAATGATGTCTGCTTTTGTGAAATCACAGCTGAATGTTGTTTGCATTTGTCTGTTCAACATTGTAAAAGGGGTTGTAAAAGACATGCAGAAGAGAAAGACTCTCAAATTATTGTTAAAAACATCTTCAATACATTTACGGTCAATATCATTTTAATCAGCCTGATTAGATCACACAAACTTAAGGATATAAATAATCTTTGACTGGCTTGTCAGCCTATATATCTTGCTATTAAGGTAAAAAATAAGTAAAAGCAGCATGCGGTGATGGAAGGTGGTACTTCAAGGGCCCCGGTTGACGTAGCAGTTAATTGCCGTGACTGCTGGAGGCCAGCCGCGCCAGTGAACATTGCACAGGAAATGATGTGTTGCATATCTTGAACCACCTCAGGTTTCCACTATGTGGCGCTAGAGAACACGCGCTTCACCAACAGTATGTTGCTCATGTGTAGAACACACATCATAATATTCATGCCTCACATTCAAATAAGGCATGTGAAAAGTGCAAAATGGCCGACTTCCTGTTGGGTTTACGAAATGACACCAAGAGGCACTTTTGTGCATCCCATCATTCTCTACATGCCCACCAAATGTCATACTTGTAAGTGAAACCACAACGAGGGGCTGCCTTTTAGCAGATTTGTAGGGGACGCTTTAGAGCTTTTTCCCCACAACCAGAAAACGAGACACCCTAAAATAAAACATTTGTCAACAGTCCTTACAATTTTCAAAAGAAGAAATCAACTTTTGGTAAACGTTAAGGCCTTCACAATGCAAACATTTAGTGCTCAGTATAAGATTAAAATAAAGAATTTCAATAGGTCCATGTCAGTGCTTGGGCCATTAAAACACTGCAACCCTACAACAATTCATCTTGCTTTTTTTCTGTGTAAAAGCCTCACCATTTCTTTGATGTAGCCACTCTTGTAAATGTTTTTCACGTCCTCTTTCACCAAAGGGCAGGCTTCATCAACTTTCGTGAGCAGGACCAGCTGAGGAATCCCTAGAAACACCAAAGCAGAAAGAACATCTCCAAATACTGTCGATTTCTTTATGTCTGCCTGTCAAAATATTGAGGTAAAGTAGCACTACTGAAATTATTTTTAAATGTTGTGTTGCAATTTGACTTTCAGGATTTACTCGTAAGCTAGTAGTTTGCAGTGTTGATCAGCGATGCAGTAAATATACAACCGCCTACAAGAAGTTCCAATGGCTGTAATCCACTGTCTTAGGCGTAGGCCAAGGGAAGGTGGGAATTGCATTATCCGCTTAATATCAACTATCACAGTGTCTCTTTAAATAAGTGGTAGTGCATTTAACTGACCCATTAAGTTGACCTTTCTACGAATAGCATTCAGCTTTTCCTCCAGCTTTGGGGGCATGATGGAGACCTTGCAGGCGTCAATGACGTAGGTCACACAGTGGATCCTGTCCTTAAGCTCAGGAGACTTCAGATAGCCACTAGAATCCGAATCCAGAGAAGCAGAGGGGTTGAACTGGAACATGCAGTTCAGTGGAAAGACACAGATAGTTTGAGTCAACTCCAGCCAGATCAATGGCTCATATGTTCAATGTCCTGCTGAATGTTACAAAAAGCTGTACCTGATAACGGTCGGGCAGATGACCTTTGAGGATGCTGCTGATGTCATCAATATCAAGTCCCGCCCCTGTGCTTTCCTCCAATCCCATGGTATCACAGAAGATGATTGGCAGAGGTTTTCCTTTGCGTCCATCTTTCACTGAGTAGGTTCGAAACTGTTGCAAACAAAGAGATGGAACAACAAACCACAAAATGAAGAACAGGGATTTTTATTTTCAAATCAAACAACAGGATATCATCAAGAGGCAGGAACTAACCTGTCTGGTGAGGCTGGTGGTGAAGCAGCCAGCCATGGCCTGGCTGGTGACGTGGCCTCTGAACACAGAGTTGATAGAATTGAAGAAGCTGGACTTTCCAGCTCCAACTGGTCCAATGAGCAGGACCCGAGCCTGGGACACAGAGCTGTCTGTGGGTTGGTAGATCTTAATACTCTCCTTTAGCTCGTTCTTCTTCCTGTACAAGAAAATATTTTTTTTAATGTTCTAGCAAAAAGGCTTTTCAGTTGTTTTGAAGCCTGGTTGATACAGATTGTTATGCACAGCAAGTTCAAGGTTCAAGGTTCTTTATTGTCAATCTGACATAGTTACAGAGTAATTATGTAGTTGTCCTCTGTGATAGATCTGATAGAACCAGTGATGGTCGCAGGTACAATTATTGTCAATTAAATTGATTATGCCAAACAATCCCATTGCATAATATTTTGCACAGTCTAATATAATAAGAAAAGCTGGCATATTATGTATATTATGCAAACATAGCTAATTTGCATGTCATGGCATTTAGAACATATTAAATATCAAAATTATTAACACACTGTAATTAATGTCATACTGTATAGTAAAGTATATTTTTACAAGAGCAAAGCATATAATAGCATTATGTGAAGGACGGTATCTCTCTTACACAGATTCCCAGTGTATAGTCCTCCATGGCCTCTCAAGTGCTGTGGTTTCTGTTGAAGAACAAACACAACTTTGAGAAAAACAATTTGATCAAATGTTATAAAAAATATTATTCACCGATACAACCTTTTCTATGAGATGAGTTTACGTGGCAAAAAATAAATAAAATTGGCATTAATATGACATGCCATATTTAATTGTTTTAACAAACATTTGTATTGCCTGAAATGTTGTATTAACATCTCCCAATGAAGTTTAATAGGTTCAACGATAATACCAAAAGTACAGAGCCCGCCTGGTGACTGGTGAAGATAATTTAAACTAAATTATGTAACTTTTAGGGGAAATGTCATCTCACTCAGATGTTCAGGGGCAATTTGTGCCTTGAACATCTGTTCCTTCACTATGGTCGTACAATCTCACGTGAGAAGTGTAAGGCTTTACGGCACAAATTGGGTTTTGGGGAAACTGGATCATATTTGAGGGAATATTTTCTTTTTTAATCTGATCAACTCCTTTACTTGAGTTCATACTAAATAACGCTAACAGCATACGTGGCAGTAATAGGATGAAAATCAATTACTAGTGGATGATTGAATATAATTTAACACTTGTGACTGGTTATTATCGTGAACTCACCCTCCACTTGATAGACTTCACACTCAGTCAGGGTGAGGTCGTTCCCATGCATATCAGCAGCAGTGAAGTTGTAAAAATTCCCCGGAGCGCTATGTACAACTGCTTTGCTTCCATGGACAAGAACCAATGCTTCTCCAAAATATGGACCACAGTTAGCGATCATTTTCACTGCATTACCAGCGCCAGTGACCGGATATTTGAGGAGCTTTTCTCCACTGACGGTGAAGAGAAAGGCCTGGTCATCATTCACATAGGCCCCAGACTGACTGAAAGGTTGTTTGGTGTAGCCTCCAAACACGTAACCTGAGGCGTTATAGCCCACAGACACTGTGGGACAGCGGTTGTCACATCGTTGGTGGAAGGCTGGGCCGGTGAAACCGTGGATGCTGGCCTTGTACAGCAGCTGCAGTTTGACTCTTCCCAGCTGGGAGCAGATAGTTCCCTGCTTGCTCCTGGTTAGCATGGAGTTCATGGTGGACAGCTGGTCATAAAATGAGAAATTAAAATTAAAATTAGATTGATGGATTGTGAAATCGATTTCTTAAAGTTGAAACCCCTTATTTGTATCCTTTGATTTCATATAAAAACATTTACATTGTTTACTTGGGTCATGTATAAACTAGTTTCTCATGGAATAATAAAAAGGCAATCTGTAAATATTTTTGAAACCTCTGCCCCATCATATTTGTTGGGTGGTGGATTATTTCTAAACAAACTCAAAGAGATTTGGTTTTATCCAACTATTCATAATTGTGGGAAATCAATCAAGACATTAATGTAAATTATACCTTCTGAGAAGAGCTTAGAAAAATACGTTTATACTGTATAGTGTAAGGAAAAAAGCAAAGGTTGGATCAATGGCAAAGGCCATTGTTGTTTTTTTATCTAGCAAGAAAAAATAATATTTGCAGTTTGCATTGAATGCAAGAGAGCAATATGGGGAAGGTGAATATAGATCAGTAGAGGTGAAGCCTACATTATTAAATAGCTCTAAAAAAGCTGAGCTAATCACAGTTCAAAATTAAATCACAGCACATTATCAGTCGAAATCGATGTAAAGGCAGCTAAACAAGTAGCACTAAACCCCTGTCTCAGTCTGCCACACCTCGGTTTACATATAGCCTACTGCAGCCATAAAAGTTAGGTTTTTTTACCACACCCCCCCATTTTCACCTTAATTTTCTCTCTTTGTTTGGTTACAAATCATTTTCGAATACGTTTTAACAGTTCCCTCGTGGCACTAAAACAACAATATTGATTGTTCCTCAGTTCAGGTTAAAATCAAGATGTGATCGACCGCCCTTCAATTTCATATAAAACTTTGGCAAAATATAATCCGTTGTTCTTTTTTAAATTTACCTTCTTGTGTTCTATCTAGATACTTGAGGATCTTGACCAGCTACGATAGAGATGTGCAGAAATGTGGTTTCAGAAATTGAGAAACGAAAGTGAAAGTATCCGGATATTCTCCGTAATTTGGCTTTCAAAATAAAACTGAAGTTTGTCTCTAAATAAAGCTGTGTAGCCCACTGTGTATCCTGAACATGTGAAACTCCCTAGTGTTTTCTTCCTTTAGTTCCATTTTGTTCAAATTGAACGTGAATCCAGTTGTCACATGACACTTTTTATCACACAATGGGCTTCATACTGGAGAGACCTTACTTTATAATAAACGTAGGCTATACTTTTTTTATGAGGCAAGTTTGCACGTGTTTGAACTAGGATTCACCACATCCTCACCCAATCTGTAAAAAAAACACTAGACCTTGAAGAAGCACGTTCCCATTCATAAGATATATTCTATAATCATGTATGGCTTTTCATAGGTTTCATTTACAATTTTGCTACCATCACGTTAAAATTAAAAACTTCACATGTCCTGCTGCCAGACAATCAAAACAACAATGTGAATAAAGATTTTTAATTAAGGTTTGGAAATACAGTTGATATAAACAGTAGATGCTATAAAAAAGTGACAGGCAAAGAGATGGAGATTTATATATTGTACATTGTGTGAATTATACTCGTAAGAGAGGATGTTCACCTGCAATAGACCCTGAGAGTGAGGAAAAATCATACAATCGAAAACAAAATTATTGAACCTCACAGTTAGGTGCTCAGCCATGATAATGATGCCATTGTGAATACGGTAAGACACTTGTAAATGTCTTTACCACCAACAGAAAGACAAAGTATGGGATGACTTACACCCACTCTGTGCCACTCAAAAACAATGCTGTTCCTGGACCATTTACCTTTTATTAAAGAACAGATCACACTTACAAATACAAACATAATGACATAATGAGAGTGTTATATGTTACATGATCTATTACATGTAGCATTTACATTCTGTAGCTTTGAAAAAACAGCTTAAAGTTGCTCCGACATTTTTTAAATGCTCCACGCTAAACCCCCAAATCGATCTTTGGCCCTGTGTGTTGTGGTGCATTGTCCTGGAAATACAGGTCAGCATACTGCAGGATGTGGTCCACAGCTCTAAGCAGAAGCACATCGTTGTTCACGTTCAGCTTCAGCTCTGATGAGTAGTTATTCACCGGGACAATGTAGGAGGTAGACATACCCAACAGATCCCCAGCTTTATTCATCTACAAACACACACACAAACACATGACTAAGATTTACACCACATAGGTATTTTTATTCCCTAAGCAGAGAAAGATGCAATGGCAAATTGAAATAGAAAACAGTTATCATCTCAAGCCCTGTCTTAACTCTCACAAAAGTTATTTGTATATCATTATTATAAAGCCAGACAGAAATAATCAAAACAGGGTTAGTAGTCCTCAATTTGACAGTTGAAAAATAGCAAAATTATAAAAAGGTCCAAACAAGAATGTTAAAATAGTTTCAGGCTGTAATTTGGCTTTTTTACGTGTCTTACCTCACCAAACTAAATGTTACATGTATATGTTTGAATGGCAGATCAATGATGATCTTTCCCTTTGTCCAAAAATCTAATGTGACTAGTGAGTCATGTGACTTTGCTTTAGCTTGTAATTTAATGATGTGTACCTAAAAAAAAAAGATATATTTATAAACAAGCACCGCAAACAAAGTCAAATGTTCCATTATGGTTCAGATCACAGGAGACTAAACTGGTCACACACTCATTTTGGTAAAACGTCCCCACCTGTAGTCTGCATGGTGATCACACCCTCCTCTATAATGGATATACTTTGTCTATTTCATATTTTTTAAACCTACCATGTCCTGAATGATGCAGCTCTTGTAAACCTGGGTGACATCTTTGGCCGTTTCTGGACAAATTTGGTCTATCTGGGTCAGCAGGGCCACCTGGTGAATGTCTAGCAGACACAATACAATGCTGTCAATAAGATGTCACTACAAAAAAGGCTTTCATTTGTTACATTGCAGAGAAATAAATCACTGACATTTCAACAGTGCTTTTGTTTAGTAAATCCTGTAAAGAGGGTTTCAAGCCCAAAGTTATTATGAATATCAGTGCCCAGCAATTGTAACCACAACAAAATCCCCCAAAATATATACATAAAAGGTCAGTGAAACTTCAAAGCAGTGTGTTAAAACCAACCCGGTATCACGGCAAGACGTGAACATGTGACGATCTACCATGCTGGGAGACGTGAATATGTCACGGTTTCGTCCCTTCAAACGTGACAGTTACACGGTATTGTTAACATGGCCCAACCGATGTATAATAAGAACTGGATACAGCGTGGGAGGCGGGGCCTCATTCATTCCTATGAGAGTTGCTCATTCGCGCATGATGATAAAATGGCCCAACTTTTGAGAGAGCGAAACGTCACAGATTACCCGGCATGCCTGAGAAGTACCCGTATTTTAGTTAAGTAACCGGACTTACTGTTGATGTGAAATCCGAAAATAAATACGTTATACACCATAACGGTGCACAGCTGATATAAAAGGACTTGTCGTTTTTAAAGATATTACTGATTTTCTTTGAATATAAGAATGTAAATACTGAGTTGAGAGAATAGTCAGGGGATTTGGGTGATGGGAGACACATCTATGGATTCAGAATTTCAATAGCTTACTGTTAAATGACAGATATACCTTTCTGTCTGTGATGTTTTACAAATCAGATATTATAAGTAAAACATGTGAAATAATATAGCAATATCCTGTACAATTATGTGAAAACATGAATAAAACTACACATCTTCAGATGTTATACATACACAAGTGTCCTACACTAATAATACAAAGTTATTATGGCTGTGTGTACCTTGTGTGCACCGCCTAGTGGTTAAAGCACGTTATTGAATTAGTTGTGTATATGATATGTCAATGAACCTTAGAAAATCTTGAAAGGGATATGCAAAATAGCCATTATATACAGTCTTTAATTAACTATTAGTAGAGAATAACGAGTAATGAATATACTTTATAGGGATCTGCAGATAAATGTTTAGTCTTCTCAAGCAGCAACTATCAAATATCTCTCCTGATTGTTGGCACTTGACAATCACCTTTCCCTGAATTTTACTCAGGTGTAACTAAAGCCTGATGTAAGGGTTGTTTATATTTCACATCATTAATCAGTATCTGCAAAGTAACTAAAATAAATGTAGTGGAGTCAAAATACCAGGTTAACCTCTGAATTGTAGTGGAGTAGAATTGCTGTTTTGTTTAGTAATGGCTATTGAATATGGAATAAAGGTTTTGACAAGACCTGGTGTAACAATAATCAAAAAGGACATTAAAAGAGCTCCAGATGTCAATGATCTAAACAAAACAGCACACCTGAAATGTATATTTAAATACTTTATTAAGGGCAGTGAATTAGTTTTTTCTGTATGTTTTTCAAATCAGTGTTATACAGTAAGTGTCATGGACAGTGTTACATTGCTATTATTATCCTTAAAATATATATAAAACAAAACCACTTATGATCTTTTTTTTTGGGTGGTTTACTAATGACAGTTAATTCTGTTTCTGCTATTGATGGTTTAATTTTTGTGAAAAATAATAAAATAATCAAATTCAATAACGTGCTTTAACCACTAGATGTGCCTTTCTATCAGCTGTGCACCGTTATGGTGTAAATACAGCCTATCTACCAATTGGATCAAATATAAAAGTCAGCCGAATTAGTATTGATACTGCAAGGAGACGTATTGTGTGAAAAGAAATGTAAAATGTTGTTTAATTGCTGATATATTTATGATCCACGTCACGTTTTCAGTTTTGGCGGCAGTGCTTCCTGTTTGTCCAGAAGTCTTCTCATCAGGGCTCTATAAATACAGAACTACGGCAGATATGTCATATGTAATGCAGCCGAACCGTGTATTACAATGCCGTTATGTGATGACCTCCAAAGAGAAAAGCAATCAAACTCGGAATAAAGTATTATTGTATTTTTAATTTTTTTTTCGGATTTCACATCAACAGTAAGTCCGGTTAACTAAAATGTCCGTGGGGAACAATACCCCCAACCCATAGATCCGTGGGTGAATAATGTCAATCATCACATTACACACATCCCTTCACATTTACATTTTAATTTACATTAAAGTATTTCGTGAGGCCTTCTAAAATGTTTTTAAATATAATTAGGGTTGTAGTTGAAGAGTTTGTAAATTGTGTCAATCGCACAACGTCACGTCCGTTAATTCCACATCCACACCAGTCTATGATCCACACACATGGATTAACATCGATGTAATACATTAATGTAGCCTTTGTTTCTGCTAAAAGAGGTGTCGACCAGCTAGGGCAACAAGAAAATCGGCGAAATCAAGTGTGACGATTAAAAAATAAATTAAAAACATCTCATTTTGACAATAAAAACCGACAAATAGGCGCGGTAGACCATTTGCTTGGCACTTCCGGGTATTTCTCCACTGGTTGGGCCATGTTAACAATACCGTGTAACTGTCACGTTTGAAGGGACGAAACCGTGACATATTCACGTCTCCCAGCATGGTAGATCGTCACATGTTCACGTCTTGCCGTGATACCGGGTTGGTTAAAACAACATCCAGATTCAACAGGAACTAACAGAGGGACAGAAGAACAGCTCTACAACATTCATATTAAAAGTCAAAGCCCATCTTGTCTTTAAAAGTAGTTCATCTGTGTTTGAAAATGTCTTTGTATTGGACCGATAATGTGTCCCTGACTTACCCAGGTCACTGATGTGCTTTCGGAGCAGCCTGAAGGTGGTGCCGAGGCCTTTGGGGTAGGTCAGGATTTTAGAGGCATCTACCACAAAGGCAACACAATGGATCTTGTCTTTCAGACCTGGCTTCTTTATATAGCCCACAGTCTCAGACCGCACTGGTTGATCTGGGCTAAACTAGGAGAGAGAAAAGAGGATGTTACATTTAAAAAAAAAAAAAACTCATGTTGAGGTAGTTTTTGCAAAGACAAAAGCAAATACAGATTGTACCACGGTCTGTGTTGGGCTACTTCATGTTCAGTTCCGGGATTTGTTATTTACGTGGCTGTTAATAATTACGGTAACCATGGGTTTTAGGTTGCAGTCGGTTACTTCTCTATGAACCCAACTGTTAACCTCATGGTGGCGCAGGTCGGATGATCAACAAAGTGAGTAAGGATGTATCCTCTGGGAAATTATGAATGTCTGTACAAATAGTGAAATATTTTCATCTTTACCAAACAACAGTCATTGGGTAAAGCTGCAAGCTACGAACTAGAACATGTCATATTTATCCTGCTTACTTTGTGCCCCTCTGGTGCATGACCTTTAATGACAGACAGGATGTCATGGAGGGTTAGTCCAGTCATCTCTCCACCCCCCAAGCCCACGATATCACACAGCACCAGTCCAGTAGGATCCTCTCCTTTCTGACCATGGATGTTGAAGGACTGCAGCTGAGACAGAGAGAAACAAAAGTTAATTGGATGGTTATAAAAGATGGGAACATCTAAGCTGTGAACGGAGGTTTGCATGAACAGTGTCTTCTGATGAACACATTTGAGACATTTTTGTTCACCGTTGATAAATGTATTTGTGTGAGTGTGTGCGCATATTGTCTGTCCTAATCTATATTCAAATCTAATATGTAATAATTGGACTTGTCATGGCCAACTTTATGACATCCAGGCAAACTCTTACACAGACAAAATCCATGAAATTGAAAGCTTCAGGAAAGCTAGTAATTGGACTTTGAGTAAAGATGACTCTGTCTAACTTTGAATTCCTTTTGCTAATTCATGATGTTTTACAAACAACCTTGAAACTGGTATTGAATATAAGTGTTGATGAATTGGAGATAACATTAGTCTTTTATTTAACATGGGAAATGACTGACAATACTTTGACTACAGATGGTCTCTTTGAATGGTGTTCGGCTGTTTTTCATTTTTTGTGGATAGTGTATAGATACCGCTTGAATTTGCTAGCTATTCAGTGCCTTTCCAAAAGGCCAGATGAGGCTCTCTTTTCAATACTTCCTTAATTTGAGAAACGCAACAATGAATTTCAGCTCTTTTGTTCCCACTCAGTTATTGCTCCACTTGTACCTTCTTGGTGAAGCTGGTGGAAGAGGTGCCCACCATGGCCCGGTTGGTGACTCTTCCATTAAACACAGACTGGACTGAACTGATGAAGCTGGACTTTCCAGAACCGACCGGACCCAGGAGGAGAACTCGAGCCTGAGTCCCCTCGTGACAGCTCGGCCTGTAGGAGCTGACAGTCTTCATCAGACTCGCCTTTTGCCTAGATTAGAAAATATTGAAGAGATACTTGCTGTTCAGAATAATTTGAAAAGATAAGTGTCTGTGAACATGAGTTAAAGGAATAAAGGTAATATATGTAGGGTTTAAATTATGTTCTATCTTCTTGCTCTAAATGACCAGTTCTATCACTCTGACGTAATTAAAAGAGCTGCAAACATGACTTGATTTTGAATGTTTTACTCACTCTTCTGTCCACTCCATTTCTCTCCATTGAGATTCCAACTTAGGTTGAGTTGCTGAGGAGAGTTTAAAAGTTGATAAGCCTCCATCCGGTTCAAGTTAGGGTTACAGAATACTGACACTAATGACACTTCTGCTCACAATATGTAAGGTGCTTGCATGGAGCGTCTTGAAGCATGCATTAAACTGTTGGGAAATCTGGAACACAGTTGTGTATCATTCTTTCTTTGTGTGAAACTGTTTAGTAGCTTACCAGGAAACGTATATGAAGGTGTGTTCTTTTCTTTCTCCGTTGAACTGACGTTTGAACAAAGGGTTAAATGACTTAGGACGTCCTCTACAATTGCAAAAGCCGGTTTAGCTGCAGGAGCTGGACATTCAGGTGTGGCAAATGAAAAACTGGCTAGTCTGGTGAAGAAAAAATCACATGCATCAGTCTAAAAGAAAAGATGAAACAAAGAAGCACTGGAAAACATATGTGACCTCAAATGTGATCTAAAAAAAGCAGCATTGTTTGAATGGACAAAGCATTGAAGTGAGTTTACTAAAACATTTTGAGCCACGGTGAGTTTTGGGATGAAATTTGAGCACTACTGAAAGAAAGTGTTTTTAATAGAATTCAATAAAAGTAAAACATTGAAAAAGGGAAAATGCGTCGGAAACATTAATTCTTAAACAAGACAGGACGCTGACTTTTACATAGAATCCGACTTTCTTTCTCAAAGTGCAGGCCAAAATCTGTGCCTTATAACATGTGGTGTTGCAAGTTCCTGTATGATCATTTCTTTTTCTACGGGTAACTTGTAGGCCTATGCACGTTATTTGAAAACCAATGCTTTGCTATCACATATTCACTATTTTTAAATAAATCTGGCAGGTCATCAACATCAACTTTGTAAACAGTCCTGTTAGCTCAATTATTAATATACTTCAAACTATTTAGTTAATTTAATGTGGGGAAAAATCTGTTTAGCCAAATGGATGAGTGAAAGAAAGAATGAGAGAAGGCTAAGGGCCCCCTAGCAAAAAATGATTTAAAAAATAAATAAAAATAAAAAAATAAAATGTAAAACATTTTTTTATCTCAGTACACCGTCGCCGTGATAAGTATGTTTAATTAATTTTGTTAATATGCCTAGATTGCCTACTCTCAAAGTCATGTATTATATTATTGAGTCAATCACAGTGGCGAGCCGTCAGGGCCCTCTAGGCCCTCTGTGAGGGCCTAAGATATTCTAAAAAATAATATTTAAAAACATTTAAAAAATATATATATTTTTTTAAATATATATTTTTTTAATATTATTTTTGTTATATTTTTCATTAGTTTTACCGAAAAAAAACTTGATTTAATTGTATTTAAAATAACATTTCCAAAGAAATAAATCCTTCGAATCTGCCTGTTCAGTCTCTGTTGAATGTGAAGGGTTACATGAAAGAAGCTCGTCTGGCCCTCTCTGCGATTCACAGAGGGCCCGCTATAGTAACTGAACGAGAGAGTAATGTCAAATGACAGTACAATTGACCAATCATATCTTCCCTCTAAATGGGTGGGATTTATTATCGCAGACTTTATGACAAGTTCCGCCCGCTGTGAAACTTTTCTTGTTTCCATAGCAACAACAACTTCCTGTCAACAGCGTGAACTCGCCTTAAAAATAAAAGCATGCCAAATTACACTTAAGACATACAACTGCAACGAAAGTAACAAACACAATGCAATATCATTTTCAATGTCAAAGAACACAAATTGGGTTCCCAGGTGTTGTTTTGTGTGGTAGAGGGTCGCTGTCATTGATGCGTTTTGCACCCTGGGCCGTTGTTTTGATATTCCGCTGAAGTATACGCTGTGACGTAATAACTATTTTTTTTTCTTTTTTTCGAGGGAATTGGTGGGTGTCAGAGGGCCTAGGTATAAAGCTCACGGCTCGCCACTGGTCAATCATATAATACATTAACCGTGCTTTACCTGAACCTCATCATGACACTAGAGAGGACGGCAGGATTGTAATTTCCCGTGTTCAGTGAATGCAACAGAGGCAAGGCACCAGAACAACCAGAGAGTTGAATGGAAATAAACATCTGTCTTATTGGCTGACAGGTACCTATCCTGTGAGCTGTGACAATGTTTAAAATAAACTGTCAGTCGGACTCAGAGTTTTTGAAGATGGACATAAGAACATTTGTTCTTAAAAAAGACGACAATTCTCAAGTGGTGGCTCACACAACAACCCCAGAGCCACCACTTGAGCCAGGAGAACAAGGTATGTAAATGTCAGTAAACTTCCAAGTTATGCGAACATGTAAGCAAAGCATAAATTACAGCTACGTTGACGTTACTTTGAATCGCGGGGGTAAGCTAAACCGTTAGCAAGTAGCTATAGCTAGCCAGATATATTAAATAAACACTTTGTCATACAATCTAAATGTTATGTTTTTTAGCGTTACCTGGTGATTTCAAAGAAAGCTCTCTGGAAAATGTTGACTTACTGTTCGACATGAAGCTAGAAGCTACCTTACAGTACACAGTTGATCCTGAGTCCTGTCAGTGAAAGTGTGTCATAGTTAGCTTAGCTAAGCATCAACCTAGCACTGAAATATATGGATGTTATGAAAGTATTTCTGAGAAAAAGTCAGCTGAAATGGTGGCATGCCACTGCTTTACGTGTCGACAGCATGTTTGAACGTATTTTACGTGTCGACAGCATGTTTGAACGTATTTGCAGCAGTAAATGTGGCTGACGTTGCCATAACAACACCTGAATTTAAATGTGCAACCTCTTTTTGTGACAGATTTTTGCATGAAATTATAATTCTTCTGAATGATATTCCTATTGACAGCTAGTTTCTATGTGAACATTATGAGATGGACAGCCAGAGAGAATAAATGAAAAACAGTTATGAAATACTATATGACAAAACAAGAATACAGTTTAAAAGGGGAGTGATTTGTAAAATATCCATAAAGAAAAATCTGTTTACAGTTCTGTTTCATATGGGTGTTGAGAGATGTATCCATAGATCTCTTAATTTTGCTCTCAAAGTGCACTAGATTGATGCTTTTAACTTCAATATTTAAAAAAAAATCTTCTAGGAGGTGAGGACTCCCCTAGAGGATGTTAGGTCCACGGTGTTTACATACTTATTTATACAATATGTGTGTTTATGTTAACATCATAAGACAAAAGTTGGTTCCGTGTTGTGTGTAGTGAGAACCTACTAGAGTGAGGGGGGCCCCCAAGCCAAAGCTCGCTTAGGGCCCCTTAAAGTCTAGGGTCGGCCCTGCCTACCTCCTTTCCTCTCTGATTTTCCGCATCTTCTCTCTCCTCTCATTAAAGCACTCTGTTAAACTGTTCAGATGATTGTGGATACACAAACACATTCTATCAGATTAGTTATTCCAATCTGTTTTCATCCAGTGTGAAATTGCTCAGTTGGATATCAGGAATTTCCCCTTTCTGATTTTAAAACATTCAGTGAATAAAAAAAATTAAAGAACTTCAGCAGACATGCACAGAACATCAGCGCCTTTGTTTCAAATATAAGGTTTTGATTACAAGCGCTACCAATGATAAACAAAGGTAGCCTACACTTCCTGGCTTTTATTTGTCTAACATCAAATAATTACGGTGCTAAGAAACATATCTACTGTTACAAAAGTTAGTGAGCCAGGGAATTTGCGAACGTCAGTTAAAACATTTGAAATAACTTCTCTGTTATCAGATCTTGCGAGATTGTGTTGCTAACAAAATGCAACTGTATCGTCAGATTGTAAGGAAGGTATGTCTTGGGAAAATGGGAGAAGTATTGTTTGTCCATACAAACACTGTAACGCCATTTCCACAGTTAGAAGATAACTTGAACAATTAGCTAACACAAACTAGCTAACACACGTTTGCTTTCTGAAATATCCCGTCTACCCGCAGGCTTTAACGACATTAAGAAAGTTGGTGGCCAATAGCTAGCCTACAGGACACAAACCAAACAGAAGAAAGTCAAAAACGGTAGGTAATTAAGTTTCATCAACCGCCACCTGTTGTGAAACTAAACTTTGCTCCGTTTACTTACGGAGGCATTTACCTTGTTTTTTCTTCAGTTAGATTCTGCATGATAACCGCTGCTGTATAGGCTATGTGGCGAATAACAGCTGCAAAAGGATAGAGGAGAATAGAAAACAAGAGTGTAGGATACTTTTCTGTGGAAAGGAAAGTGAAACTTAAACTGTCAGAGAGGTGTGTGGCATAAGCACACTTTTCTTTGCACAATGCAAGCTTGTTGTCCCCAAAAAAACAAACTCGAAATATTGAAATGCTCTCTGATATCCTAGGTTTTAAGTTTGCTTTTTCTTGTAAAACCTCCACCGCCTTTTGCCTAGATTAGAAAATATTGAAGAGATACTTGCTGTTCAGAATAATTTGAAAAGATAAGTGTCTGTGAACATGAGTTAAAGGAATAAAGGTAATATATTTATAGGGTTTAAATTATGTTCTATCTTCTTGCTCTAAATGACCAGTTCTATCACTCTGACGTAATTAAAAGAGTTGCAAACATGACTTGATTTTGAATGTTTTACTCACTCTTCTGTCCACTCCATTTCTCTCCATTGAGATTCCAACTTAGGTTGAGTTGCTGAGGAGAGTTTAAAAGTTGATAAGTCTCCATCCGGTTCAAGTTAGGGTTACAGAATACTGACACTTATGACACTTCTACTCACAATATGTAAGGTGCTTGCATGGAGCGTCTTGAAGCATGCATTAAACTGTTGGGAAATCTGGAACACAGTTGTGTATCATTCTTTCTTAGTGTGAAACTGTTTAGTAGCTTACCAGGAAATGTATATGAAGGTGTGTTCTTTTCTTTCTCCGTTGAACTGACGTTTGAACAAAGGGTTAAATGACTTAGGACGTCCTCTACAATTGCAAAAGCCGGTTTAGCTGCAGGAGCTGGACATTCAGGTGTGGCAAATGAAAAACTGGCTGGTCTGGTGAAGAAAAAATCACATGCATCAGTCTAAAAGAAAAGATGAAACAAAGAAGCACTGGAAAACATATGTGACCTCAAATGTGATCTAAAAAAAGCAGCATTGTTTGAATGGACAAAGCATTGAAGTGAGTTTACTAAAACATTTTGAGCCACGGTGAGTTTTGGGATGAAATTTGAGCACTACTGAAAGAAAGTGATTTTAATAGAATTCAATAAAAGTAAAACATTGAAAAAGGGAAAATGCGTCGGAAACATTAATCCTTAAACAAGACAGGACGCTGACTTTTACATAGAATCAGACTTTCTTTCTCAAAGTGCAGGCCAAAATCTGTGCCTTATAACATGTGGTGTTGCAAGTTCCTGTATGATCATTTCTTTTTCTACGGGTAACTTGTAGGCCTATGCACGTTATTTGAAAACCAATGCTTTGCTATCACATATTCACTATTTTTAAATAAATCTGGCAGGTCATCAACATCAACTTTGTAAACAGTCCTGTTAGCTCAATTATTAATATACTTCAAACTATTTAGTTAATTTAATGTGGGGAAAAATCTGTTTAGCCAAATGGATGAGTGAAAGAAAGAATGAGAGAAGGCTAAGGGCCCCCTAGCAAAAAATGATTTAAAAAATAAATAAAAATAAAAAAATAAAATGTAAAACATTTTTTTATCTCAGTACACCGTCGCCGTGATAAGTATGTTTAATTAATTTTGTTAATATGCCTAGATTGCCTACTCTCAAAGTCATGTATTATATTATTGAGTCAATCACAGTGGCGAGCCGTCAGGGCCCTCTAGGCCCTCTGTGAGGGCCTAAGATATTCTAAAAAATAATATTTAAAAACATTTAAAAAATATATATATTTTTTTAAATATATATTTTTTTAATATTATTTTTGTTATATTTTTCATTAGTTTTACCGAAAAAAAACTTGATTTAATTGTATTTAAAATAACATTTCCAAAGAAATAAATCCTTCGAATCTGCCTGTTCAGTCTGTTGAATGTGAAGGGTTACATGAAAGAAGCTCGTCTGGCCCTCTCTGCGATTCACAGAGGGCCCGCTATAGTAACTGAACGAGAGAGTAATGTCAAATGACAGTACAATTGACCAATCATATCTTCCCTCTAAATGGGTGAGATTTATTATCGCAGACTTTATGACAAGTTCCGCCCGCTGTGAAACTTTTCTTGTTTCCATAGCAACAACAACTTCCTGTCAACAGCGTGAACTCGCCTTAAAAATAAAAGCATGCCAAATTACACTTAAGACATACAACTGCAACGAAAGTAACAAACACAATGCAATATCATTTTCAATGTCAAAGAACACAAATGGGGTTCCCAGGTGTTGTTTTGTGTGGTAGAGGGTCGCTGTCATTGATGCGTTTTGCACCCTGGGCCGTTGTTTTGATATTCCGCTGAAGTATACGCTGTGACGTAATAACTCTCGTAATAACCTGGTGATTTCAAAGAAAGCTCTCTGGAAAATGTTGACTTACTGTTCGACATGAAGCTAGAAGCTACCTTACAGTACACAGTTGATCCTGAGTCCTGTCAGTTAAAGTGTGTCATAGTTAGCTTAGCTAAGCATCAACCTAGCACTGAAATATATGGATGTTATGAAAGTATTTCTGAGAAAAAGTCAGCTGAAATGGTGGCATGCCACTGCTTTACGTGTCGACAGCATGTTTGAACGTATTTTACGTGTCGACAGCATGTTTGAACGTATTTGCAGCAGTAAATGTGGCTGACGTTGCCATAACAACACCTGAATTTAAATGTGCAACCTCTTTTTGTGACAGATTTTTGCATGAAATTATAATTCTTCTGAATGATATTCCTATTGACAGCTAGTTTCTATGTGAACATTATGAGATGGACAGCCAGAGAGAATAAATGAAAAACAGTTATGAAATACTATATGACGAAACAAGAATACAGTTTAAAAGGGGAGTGATTTGTAAAATATCCATAAAGAAAAATCTGTTTACAGTTCTGTTTCATATGGGTGTTGAGAGATGTATCCATAGATCTCTTAATTTTGCTCTCAAAGTGCACTAGATTGATGCTTTTAACTTCAATATTTAAAAAAAAATCTTCTAGGAGGTGAGGACCCCCCTAGAGGATGTTAGGTCCACGGTGTTTACATACTTATTTATACAATATGTGTGTTTATGTTAACATCATAAGACAAAAGTTGGTTCCGTGTTGTGTGTAGTGAGAACCTACTAGAGTGAGGGGGGCCCCCAAGCCAAAGCTCGCTTAGGGCCCCTTAAAGTCTAGGGTCGGCCCTGCCTACCTCCTTTCCTCTCTGATTTTCCGCATCTTCTCTCTCCTCTCATTAAAGCACTCTGTTAAACTGTTCAGATGATTGTGGATACACAAACACATTCTATCAGATTAGTTATTCCAATCTGTTTTCATCCAGTGTGAAATTTATGGAGCTAATTTCCTGCCATAACTCCACAAACAAACTAAACAGGTTTTACAAATGCCTTATGATTCACTAACAAACACAATGTGGTTTGCAAATACAAAACACCATCTACAAACTAATGAATTTAGTTTTGCAAAGAAAAAACGTATCTATCAAACAAACACATAACATTTTTCTAATAAATCATGTTTCAGAGACAAATTCAGCTTAGGTTTTACAAGTACACAACTTTTTTTTACAAGTGCACAAATTTGTTTTACAACTACAACACTTTGTTTTACAACTACAAAACTTTTTTTTACAAGTACAAAACTTTTTCTTCTCACGGCGGAATATTACTGCCAAAAGTCACATGACTGGAATATTACTGCCAAAAGTCACGTGACTGAGTCACGTGACTTTTGGCAGTAATATTCCGCTGTGGTTGTGCTCATACACACTCACACATGCTCACTCACACATGCTCCACGGCAGCAGGGGGCACTACTGAGTCCATTGGGAAGGCGGGAGGTTGAGCAGAGCATGGAACAGCTCTTGCCAGCCTGATCATGACAGCGGTGTTTCTAGCGATCCAGCATCTGAATTTAGCGATCACAACGAAAACAGCCAAGACACATATTGAGCCCAGAAAATGAATGTTCTTAGGGCTGTAAATATAATAAGCCTTTGTCTAAAATAGACAACATTGTAACTAAGGAGATTTAAACTATACAGCGATTCTGCACTCGGTCAATCAGCTGCTCTTCATTTTCTTTCCTGCTATATTCAATGAGTGATACAAATATTTTTTACCATACGTTCTGAATAAAACTGATACTGTTGGACTCGGTACTAGTTGACTGCTACCAGAAATAAAAGGAAGTACTTTACTGTGTACTTTGTGAGTAATCCTCTGTCAGAGTCCCCTCCATAGTACATAATGCATGTTTTTTGTTATCTTTGATGAATGATAAAAGGGTCATTCCAGAATTGGAGGACAATTTAGACACCAACATTTTTGAAAAATGAACCTTTCATTTGATTATTTTTTGTTATGTATTTAGGAAAAACAGATAATAAACCATAAAAAAAAGTGATTTGCCCAGCTAAGGCATCAAATGTATATTTTCCAATGAAGAATTAACCCTGTTACTCTAATTATAGTAACAGGGTTGCAAGTAACAGGGTTGAAAATCAATGCTAATTTTAGCTTTTACCTCAGGAATTAATGCTAGCTGCACAATGTAATGCTATTGTCAAGGAATGGACACACTTTATATTATATTTATATTTATATATATTTAACAAAAGAAAGATACATTTGAAATTAATTTGTTTTTGTTTCATAATTAACAGGGTTACGTTTGTATGAGTGCCACACTCCTTCAAGAGTGACAAGATTGGAAATATATTACAAATAAAAGAGAGGACTTAGTTTTGGTCTACCCATGGTAGTAGCACATGGCTTGCTGATGTCCTTTCCACTGTGTCATGCGACAAACAGTTTTTTCACTTCCTCTGCCAAGCTAAAAAGGTTTCGGTAACAGGGTTGCGCGCATGTTGAGGGACACACCTTCTGTGCAAAATTACTGTTATTTAAAATGTGTTTATGATTTAACAAATTGATTTTACCATTACAAGACACATATATCAATAGAATAATACCAAAAAAGTAAATAAAAACCCTATTTTAAATGTTATAGTTGACATGCAAGTTGGTCACCAAGAAGCTGGGACAAGAGAAAAGGGCAATTGTAGGGGGTGTTCGAGAGCTATTTGATATTTTAAATAATATTTTGAAACCACTTTTTCTACAACTTTATATGCATCTTGTCTCAAGACAAGTATATTTAACACAACAAGTGCATGTCTTAGCTTTTTGGGCATGGATTATTAGATTTTTTATATGGGGGACATGAAATGTCCTCCAATTCTGGAATGACCCAAAAATAAAATGTTACCATTAGTTCTTAATGAAATTGATACGGTTTGACTTTGTATTAGTAAGCCTACTACTAACAATACATTGAAGTACTTTTACTGTGTATTTTTTTGAGAAATACTCTGTCAAAGTCCCCTCCTGAGAACAAAATCAAGCCACTTCTTCTAAGTTTGATGAGGGAAAAAAATATTTTTTGGGTGATTTAATGGGTGATGTAACATTAATGACAGACATAATATGAGGTCCTTGGCACTCTAGAGGGGTCATTTTGTGATCATGGGGCATCACCCTTACAGCATCAGGACAATATCATATGGAGTCAGATACTGGAAGTGGGCTGGAGGCGTTAACTGGGACTGATGGAAGGATGAGGCTGATGAGACTGAAGAATCTGCGAGGAATGAACTAGCGGCAGAGGAATAATTATATATTAAAAGACAGCAGCATCATAAGAGGGCAACCATGTGACAGAGTGTGTTACTTTGCTGAAGGATATTTGTGACCAGCTATCCATTCCAGGCCAGACTCTAAAGACTTTCCAAGGTGTGAAAATGCTGCTGCCGGAGTACTGACTGGAAGTATTGCTGATATCATGTCTACCATCCTCTTAAAATACTCTGTCCAACAATATCAGT